GTACATCATGGGGTCGTCGTACGTAGCAATCATGAAACTCGTGTCTCATCCAGTGCACTCAGACCTTCATCGTTCAATCCGACAAGACGTAAGTCCCCTGACCGCTCATAAGCTCGACCTAAGTTGAAGTAAGTATGCTGTATGATCGCCAATCAGAAAGGATTGTACTGACAGTGCAGCCCTGATCATTGCAATCGTCGTAACTGTCGCCAGAGCAGTACTTGCCACTGGATACTCTGCAGTTGCCGCTGGTATCGCCCTGAATGGTGACGGTATAGTTCAGGGGTGAGTACGAACTTGGATTGTTCTGCGCAGTTGACGAGATTGAAAGCCAGGTTTTGCCATAAACGTCCTGACCGACACCGAGGTAAGAAGGGGCCCAATTGCCCATATCAGAACCGTCGGTGGCCCAGATGCAGGCATCCTCGACAGCGATACCTTGGTTGTTTATGTAGTATTGTGCGCTCGTCGGCAGCCCGTCCCACTGAAAGTAGTTATTGGCATCCGGGCAAGTCAGAGGACTAGTGCTCTCAGGCTGAGTATTCAGTGGGACAATCTCGTTTTCAGTACCTAGAGCAATCAGTCAGTAGTTGCTACAAAGGAGCTATGCGATTGACAAACCGGGGTAGTCGGTGCGGCATATGGCGGCGTTGCTGGCGAGCTTGTTCTGGACAGTTGTAGCTCCGGTTCCTTTCATACAGAGAGTCTTTGATAGGTTGGGGTTGGTCAAAGAGAGTTTGCCAGCCGAATTACATTGGATACCTCCGACAGACTGGCCAGTGGATCCTTGTGCCGAAGGCCACTGCGACTTTTGGTAACCAGGGGGGCACGCGTACGAACACATGGCGCCTGGAATACATCCCTTGCCTCCGGGGACAGCAGTGACAATGTTGGTTACCGAGTCGCCCTGGATTGTGACATACTGGATGCCAGCCCAGCCACTAAGATTAGCCCACTCGACTTCGATCGGTCCATACTCGGAAGGAAAGGTCGAGCAGTCAATGGTACCGTCTGGGAATTCCAGCTCAAGACCTTGACCTTCAGGAACGCTGCCAGACTGGGAGGAAGAGGTCTCTATCGAAGACGGTGTGGCAGTCGTAGAAGTGACGATTGGCGCAGAGTCGGATGAGGCGGTTGAAGTCGGGGGTACAGGGTTGGTTGTCGACAAGTGCGCAGGCATACTCGAGGCTGGCTCGGTCGAAGGTTCCGGCGCTTGCGAGGACTGGACTGGGATTGCCTTGACATCCTCCTTCTCTTGGACGGCTACTGACGGTAGAGACGAGGCAACCCCAGTGGCCGCAGTAGTTGCTGTTGGCTTCGCGATGGCTCCATGGCTGAATGATAAGCACTCTGAAGGGACGTTGGTTGGATCTTCCCATGCCAAAGTGCCAGCATCGATACCTTGGCAGACTTCGTCCTGGCCCACAATCTTGCCGTTGAGGACAAAGGCAACAACAGTGGGTCCTGGAACGTCCACAGTCTTGAAAACTTCAGCGGCAGATCGCCTCACGGCGTGAAGATGCTGGTGGTTGTGGATTTGAGTTGGCGAAGCTCTAGCAATGGCTCCAGCCGTTCCTAGCGTCAAAATAACGACGTCAATAAGAGCGCGAAAATACATCTTTCGCTTATTCTGGACGCGATCGTGGCTAATGAAACGAGGCTAGAGTGCGGCGTAGGGTCGTTCAAAGACCCTAATTGGCTGCAGTACCGACTGTGGGATAAGGTATGGATGTTGGATAGGTACTATTGGTGGGCATATGTCAGTCTCGCGTTAAGACATTGCGACGCTGCAAGGGCGTTGACGGCGTGTAGACGACCGGCAACGAACGACCATTGTTAAATTCTCTGGCAAGCAAATATGACTTTCGAAACAACAATGTGCATGCACAAACAACGTACAATGAGTGTGGTGATGTGTTGGCCTTGTCAATGCTGTTGGTCGACTAAGTGAGATTGTGATCTGACTGAATGGGAGAGCTGCCGGCTTGCGGTTTGCTTTCAACGAGTATGATATGAAGTGTAGGTGCTTATTGGAAGAGGGTTGGAAGAGGAGAATGAATCAAGACAGCAGGAAGTTGTACTGAGTAAGAAATTGGAAAGAGTGGTAATTGAAGAGAATGTAGTTGTCGTGGTTGTGCAGGGCGGACCAAGTAAACGCAATGGTGCTGTGGGTAACTGCAGGGCTAGCGCGACTCATGTCCCGACCAATCAGCGTTTGGCAGGTGTTGCTGGCGGGACTCAGATGACTTTGGCTTCACAACTTGGGACTTCTGCTCTCTCTACATTCCCTCGTTTGACGAACAGATCGCATACAATGCGCGACACGGTCGGAAGTCACACTATGTTGCTTACCAGAATTGCTGCTTGACTAGTGGTCGTCTTCTTTAGGTGTATGGGCCGGCGCCGAAAATGTGTTGCTGATGGAGGTGAATTTGATGCTGGATTCTAGGGACAAGAATATTTGATTCTTAGGTATTTTTGAAGGAGAGAGTGGGAGGTGCTGGGTTGAAGTAAGAATCCGTTTGGAGAGAGGGTATTTGAGAGCTTTTGATGGAAGGGCAGAGCGGTGAGATCGAGAGAGGAAGGAGCCGCCATTGTGAACACCGCGCACTTGTTCAATTATTCATTCTGTCCTTGGAACAATTTCCAGATCACTCCACATAACAATTTTCATACTGCTGGTAAGCTAATTCATTCTCTCCTCTTTCTCTCAGGACTTCAAGACGTTTCATCGAATCATGAATGCTGCAACTGGCTTTTCTTTTTCCAATGGTGGGAAAAGAATTCATTATGAAGCAATGTAGTGAAGCAATGTAGTGGAGTCTCGAATTGTGGTCAAGGCTTTTCAAAGTACGGTGCTACCCCACACTTTGCGCTGGTGGGCTGAAACAAAAGACGGTCTCCCCCTGGTTCTAGCCAACAGAGGTATGAATACGCGGTGGTACCTGCAGAAGTTGGAGCGGTGAGAACTTTCGCCGAGGCAGAATGTGGGGGCAGTTGTAGGCTCGGCAGGTACTCGAAGCCTCCAATGTCTCTGGAAATGATTGACCGAAGTTCGATTTCTCTGCTCTACTGGAGGTCCAAGTCATGCGTGCCGTGCATATCGCTCAATGAAAGCTACAAAGTATTCCGGTTGTGCAGAAAGCAAGTGGCATGCTCCAGCTTTTACCAGGTGGGTTTGCTGTTCAATAGACTCAACATTGCGTGCTTTTCCCCTAGTGCCGGTACTTGAAGCAGCCAATCACCACATGAGCATGAGCGGTACCTGAAGGCTTTCAATATGACCGAACGTCTCCAGTAGTACGTGGCAAGACCCGAAATACTTGTATACCGCAGTCTCCCGGGCGAAGCCAATTGTAACGAATACCGAAATGGCCGAAAGGGTCACTCGCTGCATCACTTCTTTCTCTTCCAGGCGCTTTGGTAGCGCTACAGTCTATGCCTTTCATTACGGTAGGAGAAAAGCTCATGGAATTCCAGTCTTATGCATGTATGCCCTGCATAAGCCCTAATCGCTCAGAATTTCATCGCTCAGAATTTCTCGAGCACCTGCGCTTTCAACGAATGCACTGCAACCACATCGGAGTCAGCCTGTACCAATCCTTTGCTCAGCGACATTGTATCCTCCTTTGTCGGCACTGGCGCCACTACCCCACCTTTCGTGCTCTCGCAGCGAAGAAGTGGGTCGCGACGTCCGTGGAGGAGCTCTTCGCTGTTGACGAAGAAAGAGAGGTCTCCAGGGACAACGGATCAAAAGGAGCTCTTAGCGCTTACTGGTCTCTTGACAAATAGAGAGCAAGGCAGGTTTTCAGTCTCAAAGGACTAGGCGACGAAAGCCAAGTCTTCCAGATTTACGACTATAGTGAGACCGTGAGTTCTATCAGGCAACAGGCGGTGAAAAGCAGTAACGCTGCGTAAATGTCGTGGACAGCGACCAGCTAACGTCAGATCCATCCGGGGAACAGGGAAAGCTTGCGCATCTCCCGACCCGTATCCGCTTTCCTCCTTGAGAAGTTCTAGAACGAGAATATGCAGCCCTGTTCTTTTTTCGCTCAACAATTCTGATGGTGGGGCGAGAAACCAGCGCATTTGTTCGCAGGGCGGAAATATTGGGCTGCAGGATTCAAGGGATGCAGTATACTGCTACTCGGCATTAGTAAGTCCCCTACGTGGAAGGATGCAGACTACCACTTGGCACTGGTATGCTCCTAAGATCACCCTTACGTGTTCGTCAAGCACATGGAAAAAATAAGAAACGCTGGACGGCAGCAATGGGAGGACTTTCCGAGCAAAACGAACAGGCGGCTTCAATCGCAGAAGAAGAGCTAGCGAAGGCTGTTAGGAAAAGGAGACTTAGTGAAAAGACGAGGGCTTCAGCACCTTGAGGACGGGGTCCTGCAACATGGACTAATGCGCATGTTCTACCGCTCTGCTTCTATCATGTTTGGTCCCAAGCGATGATAAATGTAGTTGTCATGGTGGGATAACTGTTTGCAGGGGGTTCTTCACCACACCCTGCTTCCCTACATGCTAAAAGTTGTCAGGGCACAACGAGGCACTACTAGTGAGAGGAAAGAGAAACGTGTTGATGTTCGCCGGCGATGTGGGCGACTATCGTGCTCTCGCCACAGAAGATTAGAGACTTGTTTGGGCCACTCCTGGAGTGGTGTCTGCGATGATATCTAGGTGTTAGCTAGCCTTTGGGTGTCACCGCATTTAGATCTCTAGTCGTTTCTATGCCGGTCTTTCCAACCTTGCGCGATGACTCGAAAAACTAAGCGGTAGAGATAGCGTTGTGGTAGATGTGATCACTCGTTGATTGGGTATCTAGCTCGCTCAACTGCTGGCTTTCTTGGTCATGAAGATTTAGTCACCAAGCCAATTACACATTAGCCTCATTTTTTTGCGTAGCATTCGGTCACAATCGTCCGAATCCTTCATTGCGATGAATTTTACAGGGCAATGCTCTCGTCTTCTTGTACAACACTTTCGTCCTCTCCTCACCGCAACGCCTTCCTTGCAAATGTCGGCAACACAAAGCTCGCCTTGTGAATCTCCTTGTTGTAGTATCGACATAGCTTGTCCTCCTCTTGAGTATCCCAGCTGCGCACCGGCGTTGTGACGTCTCTATCTTTGTCCTTGCTGCACACCATGAAGCCGATCTGGCCCGAAGGATAGGTGGGGATGGTGGTGTAGGCGTACTCGACAGTAGGGAAGACTTCCTTGCAGGATTTCTTGAGGTCGGTAATGAGGGAGAGGTGGAGCCACTGGTTTTCCGCTGCAGCAACTGTCAGCTAGGTCGAGGGAGAGAGAGTATGTCTGAGCATCGCAGAATGACGAGGACGGACAACCTTGGGTCGTGATAACCCCGCCTTCCTTCAGTGCCCCGTACAATAGCTCAAAGTATGGCTTTTGGAACAAACTCTCTGCTGGACCCTCTGGATCACTGCTGTCTGTGATGATGACGTCGAACTCGTTCTTCTTATCCGCCAGAAATTTGAACCCGTCACCGATGTGCGTAGAGACGTTTGGATGTTGGAAGCCTATGCTCATGCCTGGTAGGTATTTCTTAGAGAGACGGATTACGGACTCGTCGATGTCGCAGAGGATTGCAGTCTCAACTGTCGAGTGTTTGACGACTTCACGGAGGACACCGCCATCACCACCGCCGATGACGAGGACGGATTTAGGATCGGGGTGGGAGTTCATGGCGAGGTGGGTTATCATTTCTTGGTAGCTGTTCTCCCGTCAGTAAGGCTGAGGTAGAGAAACGAAGATTGGTTGGAGACGTACGCAAATTCATCCCTCTCTGTGCATTGTATGACATTGTCGAGGACCAGTACTGTGCCATGATCGCTGGATTCAAAGATGAGGACGTCTTGGTATTTGGATTTCTCGTGGTGGAGGACCTGGTTGACTTTGAGAGTCATGGCCTGGCCAGGCCACATGTTAGAGATCTCGCGGAACCAGCCATCTATGCGGTCTTAATCAGCTTAGGCTCGTAGTGGATCAGCAGGAATCAATACAGAGCTGCCTGAGTACCTTTGATGGTTGGATGTGTGATTTCAGACATTGTTCGAGCAGCAGCGTTCTTGATGTGCCTTTGAAAACTACAACTGCTGACTTCGATTGACAATGTGGAGCCGAACAGTTGAAGAAATCCAAGTGGGTGGAGACAATCTGGAAGTCCAGAGGACAAGGTGATTTGGAAAGGGTTGCACCAGAAGATTGAAAGTTATTTGGCGCGGCACGTCACGGCAAGTTTCACGTCATTGCATGGACTTGCCTCATGCAGGCTGTGGCAGATGAAACGCATCAGATTTTCTCTTCTATGGGATGGTCCTAAGGATTAGAGATTTGGAGCCTGTGACGAGGAGGCGTTGCCAGTGACAAGACTCAGCTGAGACCTGATGTATCTGGTGAGGCTTTTGAAATGAGCAGCGTAGATAAATCCCGCATTACTCGCCCGAGGCATAAATACTTCGTAGAGCATTAATCGGTTTTATGAATGGCAGATGGGTGAGCGCCTTGCTGGAAACCTATCCTCCATTGCTCTATACTTTCTTCTCCAACAACTCAGACAAGCTGAGAAAGTTGATGAAAAAAGAGTTGTTTCGCGTCGACCAGCGGCAGTGTAAGGCCGGTGACACAGTGCCAGGAAGCATGAGCAAGCTCAGAGGCAATCCGACAGTTGTAAAAATTGATTTAATCAATAAAAGGTCCGTAGACCAATTTCAGAGATTAAACTGAAAAGAACAGATACTACACTTGATCTAAGCCAAAAGGCAAAGAGAGCTGAAGAGAAAATTTTGGTCCGGGTTCTGGGCGTAATATATACTCACTCGCTTAGCTAGCGGGGACGCTAATGTTTCACCTGCGCTATCCGGATCTCGAAATCAAAACGGGAATGGAGACTCACACCACTGGTGCCTTTCGCAAAGGTTTCATTTTCTCAAGTTAATTCATCTACTCTTCAATACCTTTCTCATGCACAGCTTATTATCGATCCTTCTCTGCTTCTGCCCGTCGCTAATTGTAGCATGATCTTTGCAGGTTGCCTCTTGATCCTTCTGATGCTTCACCTTCCACAATTGAGACGCATTTTCCTTACTCGAAGCTCGGTCGTCTGTGTCACTAATCCAACACTTGCCAGGGTAAATTGTTTTTTCTAATGGCGTTGCTCTTGTTGGCAACTTGGGACCTGAGAGCCCGAAGCAAATCCTGCATTCTTTCTACTGCAATCACTTGAAGCTTAAGCATTCGATTCCTTCAACCCTTGCTCCGTAGAACCCGAATGGTCCACATCCAGCCCCGAAAGAATAACACCTCTCAGCAAACACTACTTCCACGGGACGAAGCCATAAGCAATACTGTAGCATCGAATCCGCTATCCAGCCTAGTCTCCAACCACCCTGAAACATCTGGCGCCCTTGAGAGAGAAAGAACCACCTCCTCGTTCTCTCGGGTTTCCACGGTAGCAGTAGGCGGGGGGGCTTTCGATCCACACTGGCGACGCTGCGCACTCTGCTGTGAAGGGATCATTCGAGAGTTTTTAAACATTGGTAATCTCGGTGAGCTTGAGCGAGCCTCATCTTCTTGTTTCTCTCATGCAAGGGCTGAACCCTGGGGAAGCCCGTCTGCTTAAGACTAAAAGTCGTCGACCTCCACAATGGTGGGAACCCGGGCTTTTCAAAGTGTTCATAGGACGAAGAGTGAGGATCTTGATGTTGTAGAAAGGTATTCGAAAAAGCCCACCCTTCGCGTTTAACTGTCGAACTTATCTCTAAAAATCAGCTTTGAGCAGCCCAATGCAAATCGCTCAGTTGTAGCTCCCGTTGTGTATATGTTGAACTGCCAAGGCCTTTTTGCTTTCTTGTCATTGCAACTATCTACGACTCTCTATATATGACTTTTGCTCGATCTGCTTATCTGAGAAAGAGAGTGAACAATGATTACAAAGAGGCAGGCGAACCCAGTCGAGACCTACATTGGCCACATACCACTCCCCTCGGTCAAACAATGTCATCCTCGCTGTTCGATCCTTCCACCAATTCAGCTTCCGTCAACCCATGCCCTGCAGGATCCGGCTCCAACCATATCTTGAATTTGGTGACGCCCTTCTTCCTATCCACCCTGAGACTCTCATTAAATGCTCTTCTCATGTCTTCAAAGGTGTTCTTGTCGCCTCTCCGGATTGGGTATTCCATTTCCACCTGTGAAGTGGACAGCTTGAATACGATTTCTTCGACACGCTTTTTCGAAGTATATGATGCAACCTCGTCAAAGACTCCGCCAAGAATCTTGGCTCGAAGTGTTCCTTCGGGCCACAAAGTATAGGAAAGACGAGGAGTGCGAGCTGTGATGATGAAGTATTGTACTTGAACTTCTGGTTTGGGGGCATCTTGAGGTTGCTCCCTTGTGGCTGTCGATGAAGCGATCAGACTCGGCAGTGAAAGGGGATTTTGCTCCTCGATCACACTGCTATCTAATAGGATTGATTGATTTGTCGCGAGTCCGGGACCAGGATAGTATGGAGGTTCATCAGCAAACTTCAACGACTCCCCGTTTGGCCGAGATAGGGGCTGGCCATCGCCACCATATTCCAAGATGTCGAGATTCAGTGCACCGTCATCCGGTGGCCTTGATGTCGGCCGCGACGTGAAAGCGTCTTCGACTTTTATCGCAGGCGACCTTCGGTGTCGGCTTCTAGAGAAGGACGCTAACGGTGTGTCCGAATCCTCATCACTCACCATGACGATGCTCGACTCCTCTGTTTCGTTCTTGTACTTCATGGATTTGGGTGTCTTGTGGAGTGCGTCTGGCTGTTGCGAGGCAGTTCGCTTTCTATTTGACCCCTGTATGGGCACAGACTCATCATCACCTTCGCCATTGTTGCTCGGCTTTCTCGCTAGGTCCGAATTCCGCAGTGAAAGTCGGCTTGGGAAGCCAGCGGGACCGGCTTGTATGCCTGCTAGAGGGCCCTGAAGCCCCATCTGGGTAATCGGAGCAGGGCATGCTCGCCAATGATTTCGAGGGCTCTCTCGAGGCTGTCCGGTGATCAGCGCAACAAACTTGCAACGTCTCGTCCACAATTCTTGGGATGCTGCTGAGCTTGATGGCATCATACCTTGCTAGTCGTAGCATGCCACACTCCATCACCATGTCCGAACTCGGAGTCTGAAGGCGTCGAGTGAAAGGGAAGACCCCCATAGTTAGCTACGGTTAGCTGCCGTTGGCTTATCAGTCTTAATGCCCCATCTTTGCTTGAAGACAAATCCGTCACAGGACGGCTTACATCTGGAGGAAAGTATTGTCTTGAACTGTGACCAAGTAAGTACAAGTCCTAGCTTCGACCAACAATATAGAGAGGCGATCTCACGTAGGACGAGGCGGAGGTGTTCCTGGGCCAGGCTGCTGCCGTTGAATATCTATAAGCTGCTGATGCCCCGAGGTAGGGTTGACTCCTCGGGAGGTGGAGCCCTGATCACTGAGAGCGATCTTTAGCCCGTTCTGGGCCCGGTTCTTTTGCTCTACAGCTTGCACTCCATGCCTATTCTGCCGCCAGAATAGCTGTCGGAGTATTTCCATGATCCTACAGACCTCAGCAGCTATTGCAATTTTCAGAGACACTGTGAACTCACCGAAGTCTGTCCCTGGGATATTGTATTACACGTCTGGTCGGCGCACCCCAATATTTGACGCCGTAACCTCCTACATCAAGAAAGTGTTGGGCCATTAGGCCCAGTTCATATCGAATCGTCCGTGAACCCCAATCTCTGAAACCAGTTCCGTGGATGCCGCTTCGACTTATGTAATTATATTGCGCATACTCTCGAGTGGTGTTCTTCAATTCACACCACATGTAACCCTCAAACCCAGCAAGTTCGCACAGCTTTCTTACACTTGGAATATCGCGTGTAGGTATGGGATTGTCGTGTAAAGGCATCATCGGTACGAAGATTCCCTTAACCATGTGAAATGCAAGCAAATGCCAGGAGAAGACGAGGGAACAGCCGGTTTTGAAATCGAATTAGAGGGAGGGAGAGAGGGAGAGAAAATAGCTGCCCGTTTTCTGCGTAAGACTTGGATAGGCTAGTAAGGTCACATATCACATTTCCTAGCTTTTTTCCCCTTGAAGGACTGACATGGATCTTTGCATTCGGACGGATACATTAGCACCTCCAAATGCATGTCATATCATTTAGATTTGTTGGTCAAATAAGATGTCACATATGCTAGCCTTCATCGCTCTCGGTTGCTCGAGAAGGAAAAGTGCATTGGGCCAGACACATTACAGCCTCGTCAAGATTACACGACTAAGAGCTTGTTTCACATGAGCCGAGCTGGATTAGAAAACAGAGCATGATACATGTAGGCAAGATACTTTACGGTAACATTGAAAATGAAGGACAACAACAACAACCACCGCAATGAATCAACTTGACAGGCTTGCAACGTTTCAGGCTCTGGGGCTTCTTTAGCGCTGGCTTTCTTAGACATTCAATGTTTCGGATAGTGACAGGATCCGTTACAGCACATTTAACATCCGTGAAAGAAGTGAGGAAGAAGACTGCATCATCGGACAAGCACCAAACCTCTTCTTGTAGGCTCCTGCGGAGATTAGCGTATCGGTGTGAGACGAATGATTCGGTGTGACCAGGAATAACTATGAAACCATTCTGCTAGGTGAGAAAAAGAGGCGCGGTAACATTTTGATGCAAGAGCATCAGCCGAGTTTGTACGTCAACTTGTTGCGGTGTTGCAGTGTTGTGATACTACTCTAGCGAACTGGAGAATGTTGCTTTGTAAGTTGGAAGAAAATGGGTAAAGGGAGGTGAGCACTCGGAAGCATAACCGGCATTGGGTAAAGAAACCCCCCGCACTGTGACATTCCGGCCGGGCTTTAGCCGGAGCCCCACATCCGATATGATCGAGTTTCCTAGTGCAATATTAAGCAATATGACTGCTCTGCTCTGATCGACTCTCCTTCATACAATCATATACCTTGCATGAATGATTAGTTGGATAACAGAAAATATTACTCCTAAACGTCATGCCTTCAGACACTGCTGGAAAAGTAAGCCAAGCAGGTTACATGTCCACTCCATACGTCATTTGCTAATTCTTCTCCGGCCAGACCATTACCTGCAAAGTACGCCAGATCCCCAATGGAGGCATGGCAGGATGCAATTGACGCTCTTTAGGCTGCCGTAGCTTGGGAAGCAGGCAAGGACCTCTCCATCGAAAACATTGAAGTCGAAGCACCGAAAGCGCACGAGGTCCGCATAGAAATATACTATACTGGTGTCTGCCATACAGGTATGCGCCACCATGCTCTTGGAAGCAGAAGGGAAGCTGAGATGAGGCAGATGCGTACACACTTTCTGGAAAAGATCCAGAGGGAGCCTTCCCCATAGTCCTCGGCCATGAGGGCGCTGGAATCGTCGAGTCCGTTGGCGAAGGTGTCACTAACGTGAAGCCTGGAGACAATGTCGTGGCTCTCTAGTATGTTCTTCCAGCTGAGCTGACTCCAGACGGAGGATCGCTGACAACGCTTTTGCTCTCCAGCACACCTGAGTGCGGCGAATGCAAGTTCTGTAAATCCGGCAAGACGAACCTTTGCGGCAAGATCAGAGCTACACAAGGCAAAGGCGTCATGCCCGACGGAACATCGCGGTTCAAGTGCAAGGGCAAAGAGCTGCTACACTTCATGGGCACCTCGACCTTCTCCCAATACACCGTCGTTGCCGACATTTCCGTTGTAGCCATCACTTCCAAAGCGCCAATGGACCGTACCTGCCTGCTCGGTTGCGGTATCACTACCGGTTACGGGGCTGCAGTGGTGACTGCGGATGTAGAGAAGGGCTCGAACGTTGCAGTCTTCGGCGCTGGTTGCGTCGGCCTCTCGGTCGTCCAGGGCGCGGTAAAGAATGGCGCTGGAAAGATCATAGTCGTGGATGTGAATGATGGCAAAGAGGCCTGGGGCAAGAAATTTGGCGCGACCGATTTCGTCAACCCAACTAAGCTTGGCGGTAAGAGCATCCAAGAGCACCTGGTTGAGATGACGGATGGAGGGTGCGACTACACCTTCGACTGCACGGGCAACGTGGGCGTGATGAGAGCGGCACTCGAGGCCTGCCACAAGGGTTGGGGACAGAGTATCGTCATCGGAGTCGCAGCAGCTGGCCAAGAGATTAGCACTCGACGTAAGTATCATGACCCTGTGGCTGCGGACCCGGGCTGACCTGCTCTCAGCATTCCAACTCGTCACCGGCCGTGTATGGAAGGGGTGCGCTTTTGGTGGAATCAAAGGCCGCTCGCAGCTCCCAGATCTGGTGGACGACTACATGACCGGCAAGCTGAAGGTCGATGAATTCATCACCCACAGGCAGCCATTGGACAAGATCAATACCGCATTCCAGGATATGAAGGCGGGGGATTGCATCAGATGTGTGGTGAACATGAGGGAAGTATAAGCCAATCACATTGAGATATCTCCAATGTACATAAGTAAAATACTCGCCTTCTTCTTGCAAGTCTCGATCACCGCAAATGTCTTGGCAGACTAGCCTGAGTTCCCGAAGCCGCTAGAGCTACCATCCCCATCCTTACCTCAGCTAAGATACCCCTAGAATACATAACCATCAGGGGCAAATAGTGAGAATCGGAAGCTTCACCAGAGTTCTGCACCAAAGTCCCACGAACCAGAGCCGTCCAACCACATCAGTGACCGCAGCCGCTAAGTACTAGTACAAGCAGCAACGGGCGGCCGGCGTGGGACAGAACCTGTCTGGAGCCAAGGCACGACAATCCTGCCTGGAAAACGGCTTTTTCGTAAAATAGGCTACATGCTCGGGCGTGGGTAGCGCTTCAGTCTGTTGGTTGTGATGAAGGACTTGGACTCGCTTGATCACATCGCGACGCTCGGAGAGCTGGCGATTTCTTTCTTTCTTTCTTTCATTCTTTCTTGCTGTAAGTAGGGTGGGACGAGGACGGTTCGATCTTCGAATAGGAGTACGGGTACGGCGTAGAAGTGGAAGGGGATTCGTGAGATGGATTACTTTTGGAGTCACCAAATGTACTTTATTATCCATAACCCGCCAAGTGCGTCTCAGCCGTGATAAGGGGGTATATGAGAGCCGTTGAGCCAAAAATCGTCGCTAGTATCGCCCCCGTATCCCTCTTCCATTACACTCCGTGTCAACTTTTGAACCGAAGCATCTTCCGAAAATCTATCGTACATTCATTTCCATGGCCTCATTGACTTCCTTAAGAATTCTTGGGTATTGTCCTCGACATCATCTCTCCTGCGATTGGCCTATTATGTTCCATGGTGCCGTAGCGATTGAGACGAAAGTGGTAGGGGCGGATGCGTGAATGCCGTCTTGGGGGTAACGGGCAAGACGTCCTCTCGTGAATGTCGTAAGACTCTGTCAACAAGGCCTACCGGGATCCCTGACTTCCGTCTTTGTGTCTCCTCAACCGCAGAGATGATGGCCCGCGGCGCTGCGTCTTGAGCCGATAGATCAATTCAGCGGATAATAATGCATAAACGGTGGTGTCTCGAACGGACTGCTCCCCGCACTGCTCGACCCGCCACTGTTTTCCTGCTTGAATTCCACCTGTTGCCCAGATCGCTCAGCCCGCTTGCCAAGGTGTCCCGACCCGTTGTACTTTTCAATCAGATGCTGTGGCAACAGGCTGCCGATAGCTGGCAGCGTATCACGTATTTTGGCCATCACCAGAGGCAGGAAGCGAGACTCGCCGCCGCGCAAAGTGGAAATGAGGGTGAGCAGGGAGTTGAGGTATTCTTGCGGGCCGGGCTCGAATTTGCGGGATTCGAGGGGGACGCACGACATAACGTCGATGAGGGTGCAGGCTACGTCAAAGACTTTTTCGATCTGTGAGATGGTGTTAGTGGGTTGAATGATGGATTGGTAGAGCGGGCTCGGGACGGAGAGAGATGCTTACGAGGCCGATGCCGTGGACTTCCATAGACTGTTTTGAGAATTGGCGTGTGACCTCTACGAGATCTTTAGCAATCTCAATGGGGAATCTGAACGTCATTGAGGTATCCGGCGACGTTGAAGAGAGGAACCCGTTGGCGATGGAAAGCTGCCAGACCATTGTGCGAAGCCATTGTTGAGACGTCCGCAGGTCTGCCGCTTGGCTCTCGGTCGTATTTAGGAACTGGGGCAAAGCTTCTGTGAGCTGCTGTTGTAGCCGAGCGAGGGTTAGAGGAGAGCAATCTGTTCTGGACTTGTTCCAAAGCCCGATGAAGTTGTCGTCGAATGGTCGGTAGAGGTTCACCAGGTAGATGAAGCCCGCAAGAGAATAATTCGTTGGATCTTGATCTACTGTCGGAAGACTGATCGTGGCGTGCAGAGTCAGTGGCCGATGTTTCTGCAATGCGTATGCTCTAAGATAATGTTAGTGGAGGTTCACAGCTGTTGCGGGAGAGAGCGGTAAGGTTCGTGTCGCCTGTCAAGGAATCGGGCCGATTGATTGAGGCTAAGCAATGAAGCTGCTTACCTTTCTGTCACGAATAGTAGCCAGAAGAGTCGTCTTTTCCATGACGTCTCGATTACGTTGTCGAACATATACGTGTTCTCGTCCTGCATGCCCAGGATCTGGGCTAATGCTGTTGCTTCTCTCAGATGAAACCAGGCGGTGTTGTGCTTGTTGAGGCCGAAAGAGCAGCCGAAGAGGAAAAATGAAGAGATGACTGTATTGACAGTCGGGCTCTCGACATAGTCATAGCCCTTGCGTACGCGAATAGCTTCTTCCATCAATACAGAACCCATTCTTGGGTTAGTAACTGAGCCAGCCGGCTGGTCCATGAGGTGGCCCGTCTTCAGTACGATACCAGGCTGGATGAGCATGAAGGCCAAGAATGACGTGATCAGGCAGTATGATTCGACGGAGTGACCCATCTCGCCGACAGCATGCCGTATTTGATCTCTATACAAAATCGGCATCGTAGGATACATTTGCGTGAAGAAGAAGTCGGTGCAGCCTTCAATGAGCTCATGGGTTAGGAGGCCGGAAGCTCTGGCGTATTGTGTGGGTGATTGTGGAGGACTTCCATAGCTGTCCTTGCCATCTTGCAGCATCATGGAAGTAAGGTCTGACTGCTTCTGCGTCTCTCTGAGCTCGGAGATGACTTTGGCTCTGCTGCCCTTGGGGCCTTTTTTCTGGGGGATAGCATCGTAGGTGCATGACAGCCCGGCTTGACTGCAATTCCCACATGGCTGGCGACTATTGCAACGGACCTGTCAAACAAGCTGTAAGGTTCTGTCATACTCGCATAGCTCAGTTTGATCATCATACCTTACGACGGTGGCAAGCATCACAAGCACGTTTTGTAGGGATCGACATGTCGGGGATAATCTGGAAGCGGAGGGAGAAGGGAGATCTTCGCTGGGAAGGTCAGGCACAATCATGACAACAATAATATCTTGGGAAGATGATGTAGATATGATGCATTGAGAAAGATGTAACTATAATAAGAACGGCATGGACTCGTGGTACCTGAGTTCTGACAATGCTTATAATAACCTGGGCAACATCACTTTGCATCTTGGTACTCTTACACAATGCGGGTTGGGAAAGCAAGAAAAAGCGGATTTTTCGCCGTGCATGGCCACATTTGCAGGCATTTTTAGCAAGAAACCCAACACACCGTGCCTCATGCCTCATGCAAGATGAGAGCCGACGGAAGCCATGTGGTGCCTCATCACGATCCAGGTTCTACGAGCCGGAGATTTTTTTGGATTTTTTGGATTTTTGGAATGAAAATTTTCACGAAGTTGAAGAAGCAAAATGTGCGCGTGGATCCAATCAAAGTCAGGGGGTTAAGAAATGACCATTCGGCAGAGTACCGGCAAAAGTCACAACAGTCAGCACGGGCCCTTCTTGCTGCAATCTAAGCATTTCTCCGGGCATAGTCCCTCGGGTCGCCACGCTTTTTTATTCCTTGTATCACATGCTAAAAGAACGTTCTACATATAGCTTCTATAGACTATAGCCCCACAGGAAAAGCTTCTGGATCGACTTCCAGAACGCACCAAGAACAATCCTTCAACTCTAAATTCCGCCTCGTGGGGCCTGCTAACGCGTGGCAGGGAGGGTAGGGAACAATAATGATTCGCTTCAGATGCGGCCAGATAATGCGTGATAAGGGTAGCGTCGACTGCATTGTAACGCTGTTGCTTTTTCCGAGTCTGGAGGCATCGAAAGGGTGCAGGCATTTGTTCACGGTAGTCGGTAATGCAGGTGATAGAGCAATGGAAGCCCCGAAAAAAACTGGGTGTGTCGGTAGGGCCCGGTGACGGAGGCGAGAGATTTACGGACCTTCTTTCCGCCATACAGCAAAATATGATGTATCCACTACTAACCACGACAAGCCTTTATTCTTCACCTTAGCTGCCATGTAAGTAAGACCCACGCTCGTACAATTTCGCCTACACCCAAAATGCGCCATATAAACCATTGGTTCTCGCCTATACTGACCACTTGAAGACGGTACGAGGGTACGAGCATCCACACCGCTGCCGCGCCTGGCGCCCCCAACCTGATTTCTCAACCGCGTCCGCTCATAACTGCCGGCTGGGAGGTTGACAACAATCACAAATAATCTCACTCATCTAATCTAAGATACTCTTAATAGCTTCAAGCCAAGACACTCGGCCTTCTCTAACAATAGCTGTTGTTGGAAACTCTGCGAGTCAGCATTACTAGCCACGCACCCTCAGTGCGACGGTCGCCGCCGTCCAAGAGCTACCAGCTCGGGGGTACGTAACTTCATCTTTAACAGCTGAGAGCCAAGATAGCAAGCGCCACCATTCGTACAACGCCCTCTGTGTACTTGATATCCCAACGCCTCGGATCCACACGTCTTACGACGCCCTGCCACGCAGCTCAACAGCTCTTAGCCACGAGCTCACATCCCCAACCGCGGCAAGCCAAGAAATCTACATCTACGGCTTTCGTAATTCTTTCCCAAGGCGTTTGGTGCGGTTCCGGACACCCCTACAACCGACGATGCGTCTTCCCTACATGCCCCCCAGCCCTCCTCCCTCCTCGGACTCCTCCGCTACCGCCGCATACACGCAACTCTCCTCCCGCCGCTCCCCCAAACCCCTCTTACAGCTCGATCTCGCCCTCCTACACTCCCCTCCCGTCGCCTCAGGCTGGTCCTCATTCCTTGGCTCCATACGCAACCAGACAAGCCTACCCGCAGATATACGCGAATTGTGCATCTGCCGGGTAGCGGTGCTGAACGGAGCCGTTTACGAATGGGAGCACCACGTCCCGATCCTACGGGAGGCAGGGGTAGGAGAACGAGCCGTGGAGGAAGTCGAAAGTCGAAAAGCCTGGCGGGGCTGGAAAGCTGAAGATGCAGACGCAGCAGCGGAGGCAGAAGACACACAACATGATGACTACGGGGGCTTGAGCGAGAAGCAAAGAGCCGCACTCGCGTACACTGATGCCATGACTATAGGTGTCAAAGTCAGCGATGAGATTTTTGCCGAGCTGAAGAAGCGCTTTGATGAGCGAGCTGTTGTGGAGATCACCGCGGCGGTGGCGGCTTACAACTGCGTGAGTAGGTTTCTAGTCGCGTTGGATGTGGGAGAGATGGGTGAGAAGAAGAAAGAAGAGCAATGAAAATATACATCATCGTGAGAAAGTCGCACGTGCCTACGACGAACATGATTATCAGGCCAGACCACTACCAACGAAGATTGAGAACAGCGGCTGTTCTACCGGCTTCAACTGCAACTGCGCGAGCCCAAACACAGGATCCTTGATGCAACAGGGCGAACGCTGAACTATTGGTGATTATGATGAATTAGTCGCTTACGTACGCCAGGATCTATGTACAGAGATCGTCACAATTTGATCTATAGTGTCACGGCCTAATAAGCAACGCCATATGGATGCGGCTCAATGCTCTCGATATCGATATACCCATACGAGTACATCCCGGTGTCATGGGCCATGAGATCACTCCAGTGTCCCATATCTTTCATAAATGCCTGCTCATTCTCCTCCTTGCTAAGATCAATCGGCTCTTGGTCCTTGCCGATCATGCGAATCTGGCTGCCAGCAGCCACGTTCGTGAGACCAAAATTGTTCTCATCCAATCGCTGTTTGATAGCGCCTTTGACCGTCCCGTTTAGGATGTCGGCGCATATTCTCGGCTCCTGGCAAACGGGACGAGCCATGCCTACGCCGTCCACAGTGTTCAGGGCATTGACCATGGCGCCGACCGTCTTGAAGCCGCCGGTAATATAGGTCTTCGTCTTGGTGAGGGCTGGTACAATGGCCTCCGCGAAGTCCAAGAAGAAAGCTTCTCTCTTCTTAGTACTGTCCCTCTTGTGCATGAACGCCAATTCCTCGTAGGTGCCTCCACTCAGCTCTACGAAGTCGAACCGGTTGGCTTCGAGCGCGGCGCAGAGCTCTTTACATTCTTCAGTGTCGAAGCCACCTTTTTGGAATTCGACACTGTTGATCTTGATGCCAAGGATGAATGATCCGGGGACGCGCTTGTGGATGCGTTGGGCGATTTCCATAATGATGCGTGAGCGGTTTGCGAGAGAACCTCCATACTGGTCGGTCCGTTTGTTGGTGGATGAGGCGAGAAACTGGGCGAGCAGATACCCGTGAGCACCGTGAAGTTCGATCCCGTCATAGCCTGCGGCGTGTAGATACTCTGCTGCATGTGCGAAGCCTTCGATGATCCGCTCAATTTCTTCTGATGACGCAGGGTGAGGCTTTGCGAATGTCATGCCCATGACATTGCCCTCAAGCTGAACATCACTGGCCGAGACAGGGTCCTTTTGGATACCTTCTGAGACTTGGCGGCCGGGGTGGCTGACTTGACCAATGCACAGACTGCCATGCGCCTTACTCTCCGCCGCGAGTTTCTTGAAGGCTTCGAAGCGTTCACCCTTTGGTTCTTCTGTTCGAGGTATGATAGGATTGCCGGCAGCTTCGAGCTGATCGAATTCGATCATGATGTTACCGGTGAGGATCGTGCCGAGTTGGCCTTCGCCCCATCGCTTGTAGACGTTGATGAGGTTCTCCGAGGGAATGCCGCGCTTGCTAAAGTTCTTGGGGTCCCACGACGAAATTCGCTCCGTCATAGCAGCCTTGAGACTATTGACCAATTAGCCAATGTTAATTGCAATTGAAGCGGCTTGAGAGCGTACAATCTATTTGGAGCAGTCTTGCCGCTGAATGGAAATTCAAGTGGCTTCGCGAGGGGAGCGGGAGAGACATTTTCGGATTCATAACGAGCTTCTGGTCCTACTGCCATTGTATCTGATTGAAGAATATCTGATTTGAGGGTATCCGGTTCAGAGGTAGCTGATAGCGAGGTGACTGATAAGAGCGATGATGATTATAGTTGTGTGGATATGCCGCAGCGAAAAGGCATGACCTTTTATAAAGACGAGGGTCTCGGATCGGTGCCTGAATCTGTCAATTTTGATGACTTGATCCATCCTTTTTCGGCAGATGTTTTGGCTTTTGCAATAGTGTCGAATGTTCGAAGTGACGTCGATTCTGTTGAAGAGATAACCATTCCATCGGATAAGGGTCCGATTACTTTATCGGAAGGACGCTGTTCGCGCTAAGATCTCTTCCGGGCTCGAGTCCGGGGACCAGTCCCGCTCCCTGGATATTACAACATCATCATTTCTTACGGTGCGTTCATCGGACTAGTGAATAGCTTGCAACCTCTGCGGTACGCCATTTTCAGGTCCGTCTTCGAAAGAGACTGCACGCATCGGTGTGGAAGATAAGAAACGGTGGCACAGAAGCTACTAGCGGTGGAAAACACCCAGGGACCAAGCCTTACACGAGTTGAATGCAATGTCTGATAGCGGGACTATTGTACAGCTTGAATGTAGTAATGTCTTAAGGTGTTTGAAGATTCCAAGGCGACGATTCTGGCTTCTATTTGAAAATTGCACTGGTTAAATAAGGACTGGCTGTCGGTCAGTCCGTCGCCTTCTCATTCCACTGTTCAAGAAGTCTCATTCGCATCCGTCCCGTCGTCCCCGTCCCCAACCGGTGCCCCTGCCCCCTTTAAAGTAATCTTCATAAGGTTCGAGTTATCAACATAGGTGTATGCACCTCCTAACCCAGGCGCCGCCCTGACGTCCTCACACGCCGTATTCAACTCCAGCGCCGCCAGTTGAACCGCCAGCCAGCTGCTCCGCACTTTGGCAGACGCCCTGGGCAGCTCCAGCAACACCTGACAAGTCTTGTATGTTTCGAAGTAGGGGAGTTGGAAATCGCCGGCGCCGCTGTTGTAGAAGGTACCGATGATCGGGTTCAGAGGCAGGGCGCGGAGGACGCCGGCGCAGTGGGAGAAACTGGGCTCGGTGCGCGCCTGAGCGCCGCGTCGGGTGCAGACGAAGGCGCTGTTGGAGGTCCCGTTGAGGCTGGTGTTCGTGTGGGGAAGGCTCGCTGAATTGATTAGAGTTGTGCCCTGCGGGATGGTCGCGGCGAGAGCTGAGGAGGAGAAGAGGGCAAGGCCCAAGTATTTGAGATGGAGAAGCATATGGATAACGGGAGGATGGTGTTTAAAAGAACGAGCGTATTGGTGATCAAGTCAAGCAATGAACGATGGAACATTTGGGATATTTTTCTCGGACACATGGCCTTTTATCAAAGAAATATCCTTGCGCTTGAACACCGAAAGTGAAATGCTGGCTACTTCGCATGTTCTTAGATTCATACAGATCTTTCTTCCCCACAACGCTTTTGGTGCGTCGGATTCACAGGCGCAAGTCATGCGATTTGCGCAAGAGCATGTTGTACGAGGAGTGTTTGACCTTTATACACAGCCACGACGGCAAACGTTTCTGCAGATACGCGCAAGCGGAATCCAACAGTCAGTTGCACTTTTCCACTAAGCTTCCCGGCTTTGGTGAATCATCAGTGCAACACGCGAGGGCCACAAGCCGGGTCAGGGCACGCGTTAGAAGACTGTTACGTTCGGACAATGGAACAAACACGGAATCACCTTGTATTTAATGAGGAGAGAAGAATATGATTACGAGTAGTCTTCGCGAATGATTGACATCCATTTGAGCGAGGTGTGAAGTATTTGTAGCTTGGGGTTCTTCCCAAGGCCCATCAGTCTGCCATCAGTCCTTTCCCTCCAGATAGCACTTAGTATGGACATGCAAAATCAGCATTGGATTATACGCTCAAAGAGAGTGTCGACTTTTATCGGCATTTGCTTAAAGCAGTGTTCATGAAATTGATCAAAGATTAGAGAGCAAAAGTGCAGGCGAGAGGCAAGCCTGCCTGCGGCTGCCTCGCTTGACGGCGCTTGCGATTTCGGCCGTTGGCTCCGTCCACGCATTCCATAAAGAGCTGCCTGGCAAGAAACATTATGATAGAAAAGTACGATTGATTTGATCCAAGATGGCAGAGGCACCCATAGGTATTCCGAGTCGAGCTTCGAGTTTGTCCAGCAAAAGCTGACTAGCAGTAGTCCTCGATGGAGGGACTGGGTTCCTCAAGGTTGGCTATGCAGCGCAGGTAAGCATGAAACTCGAAAAACCGTTGAGCGCTGTGACTATTTGCAACGATGCTGATCATCTGTTGAAATTCTGTAGAACTTCCCTGAGCATTCATACCCCTCCATTGTCGGACGGCCCATCCTGCGGTCAGAAGAACGAGCCGGGGACATTGTGGTCAAGGATATCATGTGCGGAGACGAAGCAGCAGCAGCTCGGTCAATGCTACAAATCACATATCCGGTATGCCCATAGCAATCGTTCTGGCTCGACGAGTATAGGAAATGGGGCTGACTGCGGGTATAAATAGATGGAGAACGGCATTGTCAAGAGATGGGACGACATGGAGCATTTGTGGAACTATACCTTTGACGAGAAGATGAAGATCGATCCTACCGGCCGGAAGATCCTGTTGACGGAACCGCCATTGAACCCTTTGAGAAACCGAGAACAGATGTGCGATGTGATGTTTGAGAAGTACAATTTTGGGGGCGTCTATGTGGCTATACAAGCGGTGCTGGCTCTATATGCTCAAGGTAAGGTACGCCTATTCTTTGCAAAGGACTGGCCTAAGCGTCTGGTCAGGTCTCAGCAGCGGTGTGGTCGTCGATTCAGGCGATGGAGTCACCCATATAGTCCCTGTCTACGAATCCACAGTCCTCAACCACCTTACTCGGCGTCTCGATGTCGCAGGTCGAGACGTCACGCGCAACCTGATTGCTCTTCTCCTACGCCGAGGATACGCCCTGAACAGAACAGCGGATTTCGAGACAGTACGGCTAATCAAGGAAAAGCTATGCTACGTCTCATACGATCTTGAGCTGGACCAGAAGCTGAGCGAGGATACGACGGTCCTGGTAGAGTCATACACACTGCCCGATGGACGTGTGATCAGAGTAGGTAGCGAACGATTTGAGGCACCAGAGTGCCTGTTCCAACCGCATCTTGTGGACGTCGAGCAGCCGGGCATTGCGGAATTCCTGTTCAATACGATACAAGGGGCAGATGTGGATATCAGAACGAGCCTTTATAAGGCTATCGTGCTCAGTGGTGGTAGCAGCATGTACCCAGGGCTACCGTCGAGGATGGAGAAAGAGATCAAGCAGCTGTGGCTGACAAAGGTGCTGGGTGGGAACCCTGAGAGGCTGAATGTGAGTCTCCAAAAGCTATACACACTACTACAATGCTGACTCTCGCTCCCAGAAATTCAAGGTCAGGATTGAGGATCCACCACGGCGGAGACATATGGTCTTTCTTGGTGGCGCAGTGCTTGCAAACATTGTAAGTCAATCGCGAAATCCTTGGCGCACAGTCTCTTTCGGCCGCTGACAATCTACAGATGGCAGACAAAGAGAACATGTGGATAACGAAACAAGAGTGGCAGGAGCAAGGGCCAAGAATATTAGAGAAGCTTGGCCCAAGGTAGTCCAAAATACTTCGGGCTCTTTCTGCCATTGCAAATTTGTACAGTATTTTATAAAAAGCTCTGGCCAACGAACCTTTCCACTGAACCGCGCTCACACCCTCTCATTCTCTTCAGAAAAGGCTTTACTGTTCTTCCGTCTGCGCTCATACTACACACGCCAAACACAATGGCTCCATTCAAAATCCTCATCATCAACCCCAACACCAATCAGTCAATGACCGACTCCCTCCGCGCACCCATAGAAAGTCTAGGCTACAACAACGTACAAAACCCCCATCAAACTGCCGCATGAAATTCTTCGCATCCAGACATCTACCCGAACGGCCCCCCCACTACCCCGCTTCCAATCCCGCCAAAAACGCGAAAACCTCCCCAGCTGACAAGCAAAGCAGACCGAATACACCTACCTCACCGCCCCATCCGGCGTCCCCAGCATCAACAACCTCGACGACGCCGCCCGATCCGCCCAGCACACCCTCCCCTCCACCCTCCCCTACACCTCCACCCACGACGCCTTCCTCGTCGCGTGCTACAGCCCGCACCCGCTCGTGCCCCTCCTGCAACAACGCACCGCCGCGCCCGTCGTCGGCATCTTCGACGCCAGCGTCCACGCCTCCGTGCAGCTGCTGCGCGCGCCGCAGCGGTTCGGCATCGTGAGCACGGGCGACGTCTGGAGGGGGATCCTCGGGGACGCGGTCCGGGGGCCCAACGTGCTCGGGCGGGAGCGGGCGGAGGGGTGTTTTCGGGGGGTGGAGACGTGCGGGTTGGATGCGGGGGAGTTGCACGGGCATGGGGAGGTGGAGAGGAGGGTGAGGGGGGCGACGGAGAGGCTGGTGGAGGGGGGTGAGGGGGAGGTCGGGGTCGTGGTGTTGGGGTGTGCGGGGATGGTGGGGATGGAGGGGTGGGTTAGGGGGGTTGCGGGGGAGGGGGTGAAGGTTGTGGATGGGGTGAGGGCGGGGGTGGGGGTGTTGCAGGGGTTGGTTAGGGGTGGGTTTTGAATGGGGTTGGGGAGTACTCGGGTCACTTTTTATATGAAGGTAGACGGCTACTACAATAGTGTGGAAATGATCGATGGCATTGCTTAGAGAGTACAGTAGCTATAGCACCAGGCCGGAGAAAGGAAAACATGCTTGAGGGCTTCAGACAGACGTTGACACCGAAGTGTTCCGTTCGTTTACGGTCTAGCTTATATCTTGCGAGCTGTTGATTGAAGAAACGGAAAAGGGTTGATAGCTGCGTATGACTGGATGATAGACGCTGACATGGAGCTGAAGGGCGATAGTAGCTACAAGGGCCGAAGTTAGCAAACGGTGGAAGAGGATGGTGAAGGGGTTGGTGGAGTGCAGGACTTACACCCCACAGGTATCCTGACAAGGGATGGATCTCGAAGTGTGGACAAGATGTATAAAATACTCAAAGTTCGTACAGGAGCGGAAATGTTGTGATAAGAACATGGACGACATGACCTGGTGAAATGTTAGCGGCGAGTGGTAAAAAAGGCAACATGAATACCACATACCGAACAGATATTAGCGATGTTGCAATGAAAATTCTAAGCTACAGTTCTTCGTGACTCAACAAGGAAGAGTTCTCAAGGGTTGAGCAAGTCGTTGAACTTGGTCAAGCTCTTCTTGACCCTCATCATCCGAGTTTCCTTCCGCCCAGCAATGTACCCTCCGCTATCGTCGTTGATGCCCAAGACACGACGCGCCTTGGCGTTCTCATCGTATGGGCGAGGAGCAGCGTGGATGCTAGCGCGGCGCTCGGGAAGACCCAGGACTTCACGGGCTTTGGAATCGTCGCGCGGCGTGGCTCCGAAGGAGCGGATGGCTTCTAGGATCGCGGCTTCCTCTTCTTCGTCCTCCCACTCGTTATCTTCTAGCTCCTGCTGCTTGCGTAGGTCTTCGTTGTATTGCTCGACTGACTTGATGGCGGGTGCCGTCTTGCGCTTTGATCCCGCGGATGCTCCTTTCTCGTATTGGGAGACAGTGATGGTGGGCGGCGATCGCTCGGAGTTCTGTGCATGAGAGATCTCCGCGCTGGTCTTCTCGACTTCTGACTTGGACATGGTGGGGAACGCGGACTTGGTGGAGGTTGGGCTCAGCTTAGAACGCTTGGTAGGAGTGCAGGTGACAACCCATTCCTTGTGCATACCAATGATGAATTGGTTGTTGTTCATCGTGGACCCCGATCTTCTATGCTTCCTTCCCTTGGGCGCGGCGTCATTGGTCTTCTCCACCCCTACCTTTTGTGAGGTAGATGGCTCAGTCTTATTGGGGACTTCAGTGAGAGAGGAGTCATCAGTCTGAGTAGATGCTTCAGACTTGGTCGGTGAAGTAGACATGGGTGGGCCTTCGATAGCGGATACAGCGCTATTCTTAGCAGGCGAAGAGAAACGAGCCAGTACATCAGAAACAGCCTTGTCAGTCGCTTCTTCCGCGATCATCGAGAGGACGCGGATTCCGGATATGTTCATATTAGCCCAGTGTTGACCGAGCTCGGGGTCCAAGATAGGCACGAGCGCAGCCCATGTATTGGATCTGCTCAGCTTCTTGTGGAAGTGGCCGATGTGCTTGAGAATCCAAGCCTTAATATTGTCGTCGTAGGGAGACTGTTGAGCGAAAACCAACTGGGCGATCTTGGGACAACATTCAGCAGACATCTCCCATTCCAAGTCATGAATCACTTCGAAGGCCATAATCTTAAGGTGGATCAACTTGAGCTTTATCGCGAACTTGTAGAGACGAATGAGAACCATGAAGCGGTCAGCGTCCTTAGTCAGGCGAGTGATATAGACCTTCAGTCTCCGCAAGGGGTAGCAGTCGGGACCGTTTTCGAGATAGGTCTGGATAACGTCAAAGCAGACGCCAGGATCATTCATGAAATGGAGGTTCATCTTGCAGCCAGGCAGGTAGTCGAGAGATGCAAAGAAATCGGCCAGAACAGGAGAGCGCAGGAGAGCGGAGCGCTGGACTGTAAAGGTTCGGCTGACGCCCCAGGGCATGTCTGGGCAGTCGATGCTGATGAACTCGTCTACCTCTTCAGGAATATCGAATCTGTATAAGGCGATGTCAGTGTGACACTTGGATTGAGGTAATGCTTCAAGGTTTGCAGGCAAGGCTGTGGCTCTCCCACCACCCATCCACTATCTTTGCACAGGCAAGAAAACTGATGACAGGAAGTGAATAAGCGAAGTTTGTATATGCACAAACAAGCTACTCCACGTGGACCGGGTAAGGCTGCAGAACAAAGAAATAGTGGAGGTGCTCGTCGCATGGGCATCGTGAGCTCGACGTGAAGTTGTGATGATGTGTAAACTGGGGGTGCATAGCGGACAAGCGAAATAGTCAACATACTCTTGGGCCAAGACTTTCTGCTCATACTGCCCTTGAGTCAAACCAGCTTTGCTCATCATCTCGAGCTTAGGATGCCATTTTACAGATGGGACTTGGAAGAAATAGCCGATAACCATCATTTCACCATCGAGCTCCTCCTCCTCACGGATAGGAACCATGGTACTTGCTGAGCTGGAGGTCTTGCCCTCCTCCTCGCCGACGGGAGTAGCGGTTTTTGCTGCCATGTTGATATTGACATGGACCTCCTCCTTGATGAAAGGAGTGTCGGCGATTGCTGACGTGGTACTCTCGACCTCATCCTCGCGGATTGGGGTAATGTTATGTGCTGACATAGTGGAGTTCACAGCGGTAAGGGTAGCGATGTGTTAGAGAGTGTAGTAACCTCAATTATGACGTAGAAAGGAGGGTGATGTAGTTGGTAAAGAGCGATGAAGTCGACGAAAGAGAGTGTGTTGTTGGAAGGGGTTGCGTTGTGGAAAGGTTTGATTATAAGCGGCCGAATTCCAAATTCAATTGTCAACACTGAGGTATGTGACGAAAAGCTAGCAGTAATTTCCCGACAGGCATTACACATTACCTCAAGTACTTTGCAAAGGAAGTGCCCTTTCAATGGGCTCCATTTGTAACATGGCGTTTCATGGGGCCATGTAATTTATGTCTTTCTTTGCAGTCTTAAAGGCCACCAATCAGATTATATCAGTCAAGGCATCATGGGCAAGTATGCAATAGCTACGGAAATCTGGTGCACCTTAAGCATGCCAGCTTACCTTCTACTTTGGCTTGAGTGGAGCCTGTCATATATCATCTGTTTAGTCCAAGTCCAGAGTCCAGACACTAGTATTCAAGTTCTTCAATCACGCTAATCTCATCCTAAGCCTTGAACACATTATTCGGCAGCGGCCTCTGCTCTAAATCGTGTTGGATGGAGTCCTTTACGTTTCATACGTGTACTCAGCATTCAGAGACCGGTGGCTTGACGGTACTTCAACTAGATCATATGGTAATGGCCCCCTTTCTCTGGATCCTTGGAGGGAGAGCTTTCTCAGCTCTTTGACCTCGGCTTGAATAGGGCTGCTTGCGTGTCGTACTTGTACTCCAGATCCAGATGCCAGTAGTTTGGCGTCGTAGGCTTAGCAATCAACCATGCTTCATCCAATGCTTTCAGCACGTCATCCGGTAGTGGCCCTTTCTCCAGGTCTTTAAGATTGTTTTCGAGTTGGCCAAAGCTACTCACACCGACGATCACCCCATCCCGTCCTCCCTTCTGCATTTTGAGAGCAGAGTGATGAGTACACCAGCGGAGTGCGATCTCTACCATCGTTAGGTTGTGCTTTTGGGCGACGGGCTCAATCAGGCGAAGGGCATCAAAGGTGGCGTCTTTAAAGTATCTCTTCCGGTAATTCTCCCCTGATTTGGCTGTGTCACTGAAACGACCATCTGGAGGGACTTCAGCGCTCTTGATCTTGCCAGAGAAAAGACCGCCTGCTAAAGGGTTGTAAATGACCACATCAATGCCATAGCGGTGGCAGGCTGGTATGAGCTCTTGCTCCAGCGAACGAGCTGAACAAGCATCAGCGACTCCCGTGGTTAGCTGTTCACTCGCTAGTACTTACTTATGCAATTGTACATTCCCTGGTAGATCGTCGGCCGGACCCAACCCCTTTCCTTGCACATAATAACGACCTCCGCAACCTCAAAAGCCGTAAAATTGCTCAACCCAAATTGCACAAACTTTCCCTCTTTGTGCATCTCATTGATTGCCTCCAAAGTCTCCTCGAAAGGCACGGAGCGATCCGCGGCATGTAAATAGAAGATGTCCACACAATCCGTCTTCAGCTCTTTCAAGGAGAAGGCAAGTTGCTCTTTGATAACGGTAGCTTTGTGGATCCCAGGCTCTTTAGGGTAGCATTTCGTAGCCAAAGTCAAGCCTCGTTCTTTCCAGTGTGCTTCTGCTGAGAAAGCTTCTTGCTTGCCTGCGTAGCGAGTCAGCCAAGTGCACCTCAACCTGCGCAACGCCTTTACAGGCAGTACTCTACCTCCAATATATGTTCGCGCCGTATCTACCTCGTTGTAGCCTTGGGATTGGAAATAGTCGAGACACCTGTTGTACTCGTCCAGAGACGTGATACGAGCTCCAGCCGATGAATCTGGACCGAAGGTCATCAAGCCCAGGATGACCCTGGGCTTCCCTGTCTGCATAAGGAGAGGCATGGTGGCGATGGGGCGACTGAGGAAGCGGATTCAAGTGCAACTCGATTGCCAGGAAGGGTCGAAAAAGTAGCTATTTTGGCCCCGCATGAACGGAGATGTTGAAATGGTTATATTTAGTTTCATGAGGAAACGCACAATACTAGGAAATGCGGAATCTTAAATCCGATAAGTCCGATCCAACACTCAAATGCCTACTTCTCACCAAAATTCTGTAGCAACTCCGCATAATAGGGATCAATAACTCTGATTCTTTCTTGCTATCAAGGCTTCTACATCGAGAAACTCAGATCATTATTTTTTAGGCCTTATCGGTCTACCAACGCGTAAAAATCGTACCTCTTCCACCTTACTAGGTATATTACTGCGAAGAAATTACAGTAAAGACTACGACGGAGCCCCCAGTGAAGCGGACGATAGTGATCTTAGTGGGCCGGACGTAGGAGGTGCAGTAGCCATTTGAATAAGTGGTAGTGGTAGCTATGATAGTGGTAGCCAGCTATGTCGGATTCATCGGATTTAAAAATTCCGCATTTCCTAGTATTGTGCGTTTCCTCATGAAACTAAATATCCGAGCCTTATCCCCGCTGCATTCCTTGGCAGTGGAGAGCAATGATGTCTACAATCAATAGCGCATTTGAAGCAATTGGGAGAGGCTCATGAGCATGGTATGGTAAAGCTCCCATACTATATCCCGAAAGTATATTACTGACGTAAACTTAGGTCCACGCCGACTCCTCGAATTTCGCCCATGGGGCCTCAAAGCGCGAGGTGTACTCCCAGCTCGTCTCCGAAGCCAAAGCTCTCTTCGTCGACCAGCGAAATTGGGTACTCGATCCCACATAATCAAGAGCTCCTCTTTTTGCTAACGCCTTCCCACACATGACAGGTCTGGTAAGTCCCGTTTGACCAGCATTGCCGATTCTCCCGCAAAGCTGATATTGCTCGCTAGCAACCTGGCCAACAGCTCCTCCCTCCTCTGGCACGCTTACAAATCCCTCCCGTCACCCTCGTGCCATGTGAACTGGGCAGGCTTCTACACTCTTGACCGCTCACATCCCTCCGATCTCATCCTCGGGCCTTTCCACGGACGTCCGGCATGCCAAAGCATCGCCATCGGCCGCGGCGTATGCGGTGCCGCTGCTGCTCAGAAGAGGATAGTGAGGGTCGAGGACGTGCATGACTTCCCAGGGCACATAGCCTGCGATGGGGACAGTAGAAGTGAGATCGTGGTGCCGATTTTGGCCAAGGATGGGAAGGTGAGTCGGCATAGGTACAAAAGGTTTGGCTGTACTAATGTAGGCAGATTGTTGCAATTATAGACGTTGATTGTACGGAGGTGGGAGGTTTTGATAAGGCGGATGAGGAAGGGTTGGGAAGTTTGGCCCAATTGCTTGGGGAGAGCTGTGATTGGGAAATTTGAGGAGTAGCATAGTTTTCAAGAAAATTGGCAGCTGTGTTCGCCGGTAAACTTGGCTTCATGCATGTGTTAGAAATCCAGGCCGGGCCATCCGTCAATGTTGCGCTGACGAAAAAGCCAGCGGAGCATTTAACAGACCGAGATATCGTCTTCCTCGCTACTATTGTTCATGGAGATTTGCGGGTTTCTTCCGAGACCCAATGATTCTAGCAACTCACCCAAGGCGATACGGGATGGAGCGGCGAATAGACATAGGAGATAAATCATCGGCTTTCCTTGGATCAGAGAATCCTTCCTCAGGGCAATAAGACTAGAGACATTCGAAATTGTTTGGTTCATTCAAGTCTATCTGTGTCTGTGCCGCAGCAAAAGGCTGCAGACTCTAATGCTCGCTGCTGAAGACTTCGTAGAGAAACCCCTTCCGGGCGATTCACCTGCTCATGCATGCCTTATTCTCTTCAGTCATAGCTTTAGGCAATCTATTCTTGAGTCAAGAATGCATCACATCCAACTACTGCCGGACTGTTCCCTACAGAGCCCAAGTCTAGTTAGCATTTCGCCCGGTGCGACACTGGCCTGGAAAGTGCCATCTCCTCTCGATCCCGCGTGTTTACAAGACTGTGCGTTATCGGATTATGGAACCTCGTCTCGCTTCGACCGCCGGGAATGGTAGAGTTCAGCGTCTTGGTGCCAGGATAGTATTCACGTTGAGTCAATTCAATGCTTACATGCTAACATCGTTCGTGCCACTCGCTGGGCCAGCCGTCGCGGCGTTGGTGGCCTGGAAATTCGATCCGGCGCGAGAGCTCTTGATGACCTTCTTGATAATCTCTTCGACTTGGTCCCAGTCGTTGTGGGGAAGAGATGTCATTTCCACGCCGAAGTAGTCAGAAATCTCCTTGAGCATTCTATAGCTCCGTTGGCCGCAGATGAGGCTGATTGAGACACCGACACGTCCAAAGCGGCCGGTACGACCGATACGATGAAGGTAAGTCTGAGGGTCGGTGTTGCCGTGACCGTCGTCTGGGAGATCCTGGGTAGCGGTCAGTGAGATAAGAATATATAGCAATCAACGCGACTTACATAATTAACCACGAGAGAGACGGTTTGAACATCGATACCGCGAGATAGGACGTTGGTGGTGATGAGGACCTTGGTATGGCCGCTACGGAACGAGTCGATGATAATGTCACGCTGGGCTCCTAGGTACTCTCCGGTCAAGCAGGCCACAGTGTGGTTCTCTGCATTCATACGTCTCTCAATTTCCAGGGCAGTGTGGCGAGTCTGCGTGTATTTTAGCCTGATTCCTTTGCTAGTTCGACTGGATAGCATACCCTCACGAAGATTATGGATGATCCGATGGTCATGAGACCATACAAACGGACCAATGCGTCAAACTTATCTAGCTCCGTAGGACAATCAAGATACAGCTGCTTGATGCCTTCGACCGTAAGTTCCTCATGCTTTAAGGTGATTTGATTCGCATTTGGAGCGAATCTGCTGGCGTACTCAACGACATGGTTGGGAAAGGTGGCCGAGAACAGAACGACCTGAACAGTCTTTGGTAGCAGTCTAGAGGTCAAATTAGAAAGCCCGGCCCAATCTACGAGAACATTGTACTTGCTGCTTGACCCGAATGCATTGATCTCCAAGACCTTGTTGATCCAACATGTTGTCGGCCTCGTCAAGCACAAGAATTTTGATCTTGTCAGCCATCAGTTGGCGGCGTTTGATCATGTCCATAGTAGTTCCAGGAGTGCCAACAACGATCTGAACCTTGAGGCCATCTCTATTGCGGTTTGCGACCTCCATTGGGATAGCGACACCAGCGGTCAAACCCTCGACGAAGGATCCCATGACCTGGATGACTCCAAGGATCTGACGGGCCAATTCGCGGCTTGGCGCAAGTACAAGAGCTTGAGGGGTGTTGATCATAGTAGGGGAGTAGTCGAGGCGTGATAGCATGTTGAGAACAAAAGCTGCTGTCTTTCCGGTGCCAGACTGGGATTGTCCGATCATATTAGTGGGAGGATCGCGAAGCAAGAGAGGCAGAGCCTTCTCCTGAATCTTAGATGGCTTGGTAAAACGCATCTGATAGATGCCTTTGAGAATATTTTCATCCCTGATGAAAGCATCAGAGCTTGATCACATGATGTTTAGCTAGAAATAGACTCACAAACCAAGCTCTTCAAAGGACTTGATCGAGTAGAGAGGATCATTAGGGTTGGCTTGAAGGTCGCTGAGCTTGACGTTGACCTCATAGCTCGGATCATAGATGCCAGAAGAGCCGCCTGCTGATCCGGTCGCTCCATCGGTTTGGGCCTTGGACACGTCGCTCATCTCCTTCTCAGCCTTGGCGTTCACTGCAGAAGGTTCAGAGTTAGTCGCTGCCTCAGCGGTTTCATCTGCCCATGAAACGGATCCACCAGGCACGAAGGGAGCTGCTTTGGCGTTCGTACCAGTAGAAGATCCGATGTCCTTGCCCTCAATTTGGCCATTGTCCGGCTTGGAAATGCGGTCGTCCAAGGAAGCCATGATGGTTTCCTTCTAGGTGAGCAAGGTAGACTAACAGATATGACAAAGACGAATAGGACGTGGAATGCTTCAAACCAGAGAATGTTCAACACTGCCAGTGTTGGTCCCGGTGCTGAAAGTTAAGAAGTTCGAGATGTTGTGACAAAGGAAAGAGATCAGGTCAGTGAAAATTTATCTTGGGGTATGTAGATCGAGCTAAACTCCTTCTGGCGCTCCGCATATAATAGTCACCAGATACAACATGAAATGACACTCGTACATTTGACATGGATAGCAACACATCAAAAGCAGTCCAAGACCTGTCGTTGTTTTGTTCAGTAATTTGCCAAGCAGAGCAGACAGCTGCACGACATGGAGTTCACGGCAGAGCGGCCACTATCCGGGAGCCATACCATAAAGCGTTAGCCCGTTTCGATAGATCTGGATCAGGACCATACATTCTTCCTATTCACTCTTCACTCTTGACTCTTGACTCTTGACTCTTGAGTCTGTCTATGCGTTCGGCCGTTTAGTCCTTGGACTGGTGTACATCCATTACTTGGACCTCCCATTTCTTCTCGACTTTATCGTAATTGTCTTCTCTTCCATGGATTGGATCGATACACACCTGCCTGAGCTGGAGTGGTAGCAAGGTTATGGCCGAGGTAGACATTGCGCCGAGATTCGGCGCCGAGCTCAAAGATGGCTTCAAACCAGTCAATGCTTGGGTTGCAAATGGAGTCACCTGGCTTGATGATATACAGCTGTTCTACCGGGAAAGGGCGGCGATTGAGAAGGACTACAGTTCCAAGCTGTACGGCTTAGCCAGGAAGAACTTTGAAAAGAAAGCCAAGCGGTCCAGTAGCCTAAGCGTGGGAGACACCCCAAGCATGACGCCGGGATCCTTGGAGTGGTACGCATAATTTGCCAGCAAAACAATGTTTTTCATCTGATGACGGCGCGCATGTAGTGCTTCTCTTACGACGTGGACCACCCAACTCTCTACGCTTGAATCAAGAGCTGCAGAACATGACCGATATTCCTCGGAGCTTCTCCTACAGATCGCAGATCCACTCAAGAACCTGGCCGCACGATACGAAGAGATACGAAAAAGCCACGCTGAATATTCGGCGAAGTTGGAGAGGGAGCGAGATCTGTCGTATGGGGACCTGAAGAAAACCAAGGGCCGGTATGATGGAGCTTGCCAAGAGGTAGAGAGCAGGCGGAAAAAGACCGAGTCCTCGTTTGATCATGGCAAGAACAAAGCGCAAAGTGCATACCAGCAACAAATTATGGAGATGCATAATGCGAAGGTAAGGCCTTACTCAGAACGCTATACCTCCGACGAGGCTATCTGCTTACTCATGAACGTAGAATACCTATCTAATCAATATCAACGTCACAAACCAACAGAAAAAGAGATACTACTATGAGTACGTTCCCGATCTGTTAGACGTAAGGTCCATTGCTACCCGTCGATGCACTTGTTGCACGTTCTGACTACGACTTAGAGCCTACAAGACCTCTCAGAGACCCGAGTTAATCAACTCAACTCATTGTGGTCTCACGCCGTCAACCTAGAGAAATCTGCCCTTTCTCGAAGTACCGACCACCTCCAGCACCTTGGCTCAGAAATCCCACGCAATGACCCGAAACTAGACTCAATGATGTTTGTACGGCATAATGTGGCGCCATGGCAAGAACCTTTGGATTTGATGTTCGAGCCGAGTCCCGTCTGGCTGGACGACAGTGCGATGGCGGTCAATGAGACGGCCAAGATATACCTACGAAATGTTCTGGGCAAAAGCAAGAGCCAATTGCGGGATCTGAAGCAAGACGTGGACAAGAGAAGGAAAGAAGTCGAAGCCATTAAGATGATACGGAGAAACATACGACAAGGCAAAGACAAGCGAGATGAGGTGGAAATGGTGAAGGCCATGTTCAATGCCCAAGAGCTTCTCCACGAAGTCGAACGACAGCGATTGACTGCCGAGGTCGAGACCCATACAATCACTTCCACAGTCGGCGATGTATCGCTTGGAGCTCAGAACCATGCATTCAAATCACAAACTTTCAAAGTACCTACCAATTGCGATCTTTGTGGAGAAAGAATATGGGGGCTATCGGCCAAGGGGTTTGATTGTCAAGATTGCGGCTACACATGCCACAGCAAATGCGAGCTAAAAGTCCCCGCGGAATGTCCTGGAGAGCAGTCTAAAGAAGGGAAGAAGAAATTGAAAGCGGAAAGACAGGCAGCGTCAAAAGTTGCTCCACCGCAGAGTAATGGCGGACCTCCAGACGGCGTTACAGAGCTGCCCGCATTGAGTAGGAGTAACACCATGGATACTCTCAGCTCGGGATATGCGGCTAGCGCAAATAGATCAGTCTCTGGGAAGGTACCAACCGATGAGACGAGTACAGATGGGGCAGGATCTCCACCTCCCGCAAGCAAGCCAGCTACGTTGAGAAAGAACAGAATTGTGGCTCCGCCGCCCGTGCAGTACATTGCCGAGATGCCAGGTAACAGCCCTAGTGGAGGCGGCTCGAGTACTTCACATCCAACAGAACAGCGAGGGAGAATGAATTATGCTTATCAGGCGACCACGGATGGAGAAGCATCAGTGGAAGAGGGTGATGAAGTCTCCATCGTTGAGCCAGATGGTGCGTTTCAAACTGTTTTAGACCCTCCAGTGGATTTCGACGCTAACAGAATCAGATGGCTCTGGCTGGACCTTTGTCCGTCTCAACGCCCACACCACCGGCCTTGTTCCAACATCGTACCTCGAAATCCTTGCCATCCCTCCAGTCTTGGAACGGCCCGTCTCCTCGTACTCCAGCTCTTCCACCTCCCTCACAGGAAGCATACCCAGCAAAAAGAAAGGTCCCGTGGTTGCCCCCAAACGAGGAGCCAAGAAACTGAAATACGTCGAAGCATTGTATCATTACGAATCACGAAGCGATGCAGAATGGGGCATGAGCGAAGGAGAAAGGTTTGTGCTTGTAAATAAAGACACCGGAGATGGATGGGCGGATGTCGAGAAAGGGGGTGTGACGAAGAGCGTGCCTGCGAATTATATCCAGGAGGTTTGACCACATTGTCATTGTGAGTAAAGGCGGCATTGAATGGAGTTGAGTCATAGCGTGGGTGATACCTTATGATTGAGAGGTATCGCTGTCGATCATGATCTTATGTTTAGCTGAGTCATGAAGAAACTCCCAGTTCCTGGATTCAATCTTCCTGTCACTATCGATCACGAGGGTGTTGGGCCCCTTCACTGCTCTCAGCCCCCACAGTCTCGAATTTTTTTGAAATCATTGTCGATAGCCCTTTTTCTCTTGTTTTAGACTTCGAACGCTCTTTCAATCAAGCAACCGGCAACATTCATGTTCCTCCTCTACCATCAAGGAAATCAAAAGCTAACTTCGTTTCAGGGGATTCTGCAGCATGCCCGTTCTTCCTCCAGATACCAGGCCAGACGCCACACGGCATGGGCGATATCTGGTGAGCACTACGGTTTCCTTCCCATCATAGCTTGCAATACAACAATATCTCACCTGTCACAAGTCATCATCTGATCCTAATTTCTTCCCCCCCGATGATCCATTTTGAACTATGCTCAAGCTCTTACATGTCAATTCTGATACCAAAACTGGGTTGCAGGCCATTTATACTTGTCATCAAACATCTTTACCAAGTTGTTCCATTACATATCTCCATTGGCAGCTCCCATAATCGAATCTAGCTGCTCAAGCGCGGATTGTGCGTCATTGATCAGCTGCTCCTTCTTACATCTGAGCACTTCGTCTTCAACATTCACTGCGTCGATTTAAAGAGCACGTGTTGAAAGATAGTCTCACTTAGTTTGTCGTAAAGCTTTTTCCTTTCATTTGCATCTGGAGGGGTTGTATACAGAAAACCCGGGCATTGCGGCTCGTATTCAATTTTGAATTGGTGAATTAGGTCATTGATTTTGTCTGATGGTGAGCTTCCTTGTGGATGCCGACTCGAAGCACCCTCGTATTTTGGTGAGCTGGCGTCGGAGCGGATCGATACGCCTTCGATATGCGGAGGTGGATCATTTGGCGAATGTTGGTGTGGTTTATCGTCCTCAGAGGTCTTCGGAGAATGTCTGAAGGCCTTTTCCGTCTTGTCATGGGGCCCATATTCGCCAAAGAGCCCACTACTACGACCAGGACCCATAGATGGACGCTCCGATGTTCGACAGCTCTTTTTTCGACGTAATCGAATCGTGTCCCGTTCCATTGCATATGCCCCATCCTGGCAGATTCCAGATGTAGGTTTCCTTTGGAGGGGGTTCGGTCCTGGCGGTGGATAAGTCTCTTCCGTCGTCTCGGAATGAAACTCGCTGCTGCTGTCGCTGGTATCCGAGGGCGCCTTCATGTCATTTGGGTTCGATGGCGTCAAGGGCGCGAGAGAGCCTGGCCGCATTCGCATTCGTCGGTCCATCAGGTCTACCGGCTACGTTTCTGACCGGCGCATTGACGGTTGCTTGAGTTCAGGTGAAGGCTGATAGATTGCTGAGCGGTCTGCTTCTCTCCTTGGGGATGACGAACCATCTGAATCGCGATTTCCACTATCATCCACGGTTCTCTCTTTCCATAATGTGGACTGAGGCAAGGATCGAGAGAATATATCATCGTCGTCCCCTATGCCAAACCCCGCGCAAAAGCTCGCAAGAATATCTGTTGAATCGCTACTGTCGAAGAACCCACCACCTGTGCCTGTTGAGAAATGGAAAGGCTGGTTACTAGGCATACCTTGACCAATTCCGCAGGTGGGTTGCTTTGCCGTTCGTTTCACGTCCTGGTGGGACCGGGGGTGGCCCAGCAGCCTTTTGCGATACCGTCCGTATATGAAAGGGAATAGGGCCTTCCTCACCTCTTGGTGTCCTCATCGACTCCCATGCCTTGAAATCACTGGTCTTTGTCTTGGGATCGTCTGTGCTGGCGCCTCCCCATGCAGCTGGCTTAAATTGCTGCTGTCTAGGAACATTATCGTGGGCATCCGTGTGCATATGAGGCGGGTTGCTAGGCATCGTACAACGTGGATACGCAGAGCTCTCCCAGGCAATCTACTGTCTAACCCGCTGTACAGCATCGTAGCATTGTCTATCGAAAGTCGCAAGCAAATCATGAATTCTCATATAGAGACCTTGCGCGACCTCATACGCAAGATCAGCATGCAAATATACACGATGATCGAGTGCGTCAATGAAGTCTTCGGGTCGGAAGTCGATGAGTGAGGTCGGTGAGCGACCTCTGAAAGTGTTCATGTCTTGTACGATTTCTTGGGCTGAATGAGCGAGACTCGCAGTGATTCTGACATCCGCGGCGTAAGATGGATTATTACGGGGGACAGTTTGAGGCGATTGAAGACTGCGATCGGGCAGCCACTCCAACATCACGTTAATGCGCTGTCCGAAATCTTTTGTAAAGTAAAGACATGTTTGGTTTGTGACAGACTCCTTCAGGCGTCACGACAAAGTTGATGCCCCGTTGCGGTTCAGCTACCGAACGTGGGAAGTATCCGTCGTGGCTCGATGCGTGACTTTTGGCATAGTTTTGGGTGGCACCTTCAGGGTCGCCGGGTTTTGCTGCATCGCTACGGCTCGAATTCGTTTCGTTCTCGCTCGTCCATAACGGCTTTTTTGCCGGCCTAAAAGGCACGGATTTCTTTGAGGTTATTTTTTGAGGCCTGCTTTCAGCATATATATACAGGCTCTAGAGGGTTTGGAGTTGTGGAAGTCAACTTGAGGTTTGATTTTGGCCCCTGATCGGATACCAACATCATCGGTAGTGTTGCGCGAGTGCTCTTTCGTACTCTGTGAAACGGTTGCGCGAGAACCGACACGAGCAGACTCGCTTTCTATATCCTCTGCAATGGTGTTATTGAGATTCTGGGAGTGACGACGACTATCGATAGTCGAAGCAGGTGGTTTTCGGAACGTTTCTTTATTCAGAGAGAGTTTCTGAAAGTAGACACAACTTCCAGAGCCCGATGAAGCTGTATGCTGCTCGTTACAGATCTGGTCGTCCCAAGAACCTCTTTCTTTAGTCTTTAGCTAATTACAACACTCCGATGCCCATAAACCGCTTTCGGGGACCTTGGCAGCTGATCAAAAACTTGCATACCCATTTTTGTAGCATTTCGGATAATGCTTTCATCTGTACGCTTTGAAAATTGCAAAATTCTTGCACAGATGGTGATGAAACGTGTGCTGTTTAAAAAGGATGTTTGCCGGATGTTATGGGACTCAGATTTCTCAACTCTGCCTCCATCAGTAAAGCTCGAGAGGTTTTACGTTTCCTCCTGTCAAACGTGCGCTCTATTCATGACTTTTGACCCATGCCCACACAAGCGGCATCTATTCCTTAAAGCAGGGGATTTTGCTGAAGCCACGATAGATTCAAGTGCATTCATTGACTATCAAACATATTCGTACATTCTAACACAGCAACGCCCAACCCTCGATCTGAAGACGCTAGAACTCAAGCTCAGGATTCTTTCCCTCCCCACACCCACCTGTGCTTGGCTTGGTCCAAGAATACTCCCCACCCCTCTCCTGAAACCCTTCCTCATCCCAATAGACATCCTTCATCGCCTCCTTCACGCCAATCTCCAAGATGCTCTTCGTCTTCCCCTTCACCCCTTTATTCAAGAAACAGAGATACTCATCCAGCAGCAAATACGAACTCTTCATCACCCCATTCCCCTCTGGCACAAAACACGCATTGTGCTTGTGCTTGTCACAGAAGAACTGGAACTCCTCGTCAGTGATTTGGAATTCCCGAGCATCGCGGAGCGTCTTGTCGCCACCGTTTTCTTCATCGATGATGAGCACTTGGAAGCATTTCCAGCGTTTCGGGCCCATGGCTTGGATGGCGGCGTTCATGTCTTCCTGCCAATTGTACCTGTTGACGACGGTGTTGACCTTGAACATGACCCCATACTCCTCACATAGCCCTGCGAGTTGTCTGAATTTCTGCAAGTGCTTGCCTGTGCCGCGGCCGATCTTGACGTTGGTGGCTTCGTCGAAGGAGTCGCAGGATACGGCCATGATGTCGATGTATTTGCCGTATTCGGCGAGCCAGGTGGGGGTGACTTTGCTGCCGTTTGTGACGATAGAGACGGATTCGAGCTGGAGTGTGGATTTGCAGTATTGTGCTAGTTGGCCCAAGAACTTGGCGTTCATGAAGGGCTCGCCGCCGGCGAAGTTGACTTTGCGCATGCCGGCTTCTTTGAGGAGGAGCATGGCGCGCTTAGCGTTATCTAGGGGCTCGACGTGGGATGTCTTTGCGGTGTGGAAGCAGAAACCTAGGGGTATAGAGGATAGATAAGTATCACGATTCAAGGGGAATGTTGGACCAGTGGTAGATGTGACGAACCGCAGCTGTAATTGCATTGCCGTGTGAGATGGTAGTTGACTGATATAGGAATCCTCGTCTTTGTATCTTCTTCTCCATTCCCCTCCTTCGGCTTCAAGATCTGAGCGTCTGCATCTTCTTGGATTTTTTCCCTTAATTGGGTATTCTTTGATAAGAAATAGGTACTTAGAGCGATTGTCAGCAGAGCTAGGAAAACCACTGCAAGATACATCTTGTGTGGTGTGGTATGAGTGCTAGACTATTGGTTATTTAGGAAACTAAGGAGCACTCTGCTGGGTATTTATGCTATGAGGCTGTTTGGCTAGACCAAACAAGATGCTTCTGGGATGCCAGCGCAAGGCAGAATCATGAACAACCCCGCGTGACTCAGTGAAAGGCCTCATGTCTCAGTTTCTGTTTGCCTAAAGATGTCTCAAAACTAATGAATGACTTTAGAGAACTCTGCGGCAGACCGCTGCACAGTAGACAAACAAGCTGCGGGAGAAACAGGATAGGAAACACCTTTTTGTTCTATGGTAACAAAGAATAGTAGCGAATAGAAGAGGCAAGAAGCGCAGAAACGCCGAAGAATGTCGCATACTGCTGCGTACTGATGCCTTCTAAGGACATATATCCGGAGAAGGTCCCGTACCGTTTGACAAGCTCAAAACTCACATCATCACATGCAGAAGAGATCTTGGACAATCATGGCGGAGATGGACCAAACGAATACGCTGGACGGAGCAGGAGGAGCTACAAGCCCTCCAAGTGAGCTGGAACAGGCGCAGATCATCTGCGTGATTGGTAAAGCATCCTCCGCTTTGATCTTTTCTTCGCATACGCTGCTAACGGAAGACTTTCAGGCGGGCCAGGTGTTGGCAAAGGCACGCAATGCGCAAGACTGGTGACCGACCTCGGCGTTTTGCACCTGTCTGTCGGCGACCTTCTCAGAGCCGGTGCAGACAAAATATTGGCGAAGCAGGGGATCGACATCGTGGCCTACATGCGAGACGGCAAGCTTGTACCTAAGGAAACCGTTCAGGGTATCTTGGAGGACGCTATTGTCTTCAATGTCAAAGCAGGAAAGACTCACATCCTGCTGGACGGCTTCCCCAGGAGTGTGGACCAGACGAAGCTGTTCGAGGCTAGCGTTAGTGCTGAAGACTATCAAAGGCTGCAGTAAGAGCCAGGACATAAGCGCTGACAAGTATGTAGGATTGCAAGATCAAGGCAATGTTGTTGTTTCAAGGGTCTAGAGAGACCTTGCTTCAACGCGTGCTCAACCGAGCAAAGACCTCTGGCCGCGTTGACGACACGGAGGCCATATTCGAAAAACGGTACCAAGGGTTCCTTGATGAGAGCGAAGAGATCATCCGCTATTTCGAACAGGAGGAAAAGCTTGTCAAGGTAATGATAATATTATTCATCCGGTTCAAGAGAGCCATGGCTGATTTATGTATTTTGAGATGGACTGCGATAGACCGCTTGCGCAGATCTATAAAGAGATCATGGAACTGGTCAAGGTGAATCCTGCGTGAATGACACCAGACTGATGCTGATTCTCAGTAGCGCATCTTCTCCGGCGGGCCCAACGAGGGAAAGGGTCTTGGAAGTCTCAACGGCGAAGGGGGAACTAAGACTTGACAAATCAACTCTGCTTGGCAACTGGTGGGAACGGCTTGATAGACCATAGATTACGACCAACCATGCTCCTTGTTGAATTTGTCGCAAACTCCCCTTGTTGTCTTGACGATCCCAACGCAGCCAGGGGAATCTGAATGACAGCAAATTGAGATCGGGTAGTCCTTGACAGGCAGATGCACATTACTGCCATCCACAGCGGTTACTGACTCAGTAGTAAGCTGCTGCTCCACGTGTCTCTCGACGTCTTCAAGCTTCCAAGGTCTGTCCTTAGGTCAGCAAATCACCTGAGCCGCGTAGATTCTGACCGTATACTTTTTTATCCTGTCAATGACCAACATCCCGTCAGTGTTATATTTCACATCTCCGTACATCTCGGCCCAAAACTCCACCCCCACCTCTTTCGCTGCCTTCTCCATATTCGTTCCGGCTAGCCCAAAGACTGGCACCCCTTTTGGTATACCTTTCATGACCGCAGTCGCTACGTCGAAGTCCCGACACATCATACCATATAGAGTCCCGTGCGGTTTGACGTGGTTCATCGGCAGTCCCTCCCTGTCCAGAAATCCCTTGAGAGAGCCAACCTGGTATACAGTAATGGCTGTCAACTCTTCTGGCTGTAGCTTCATCTCCCTTCGGCCAAAGCCTTGCAGGTCTGGCAAGCCAGGGTGGGCTCCGATCTTGACGTTGTGCTCTTTACACATGCGGACCGTGTTCATCATGATTAGGGGATCGCCGGAGTGGAATCCGCAGGCTACATTGGCGATGTCAATGTGTGGAAGAAGCTCTTCGTCTGGACCGCATTTCAGATTGCCGAAGCCTTCACCAAGGTCGACGTTGAGGAGAGCTTTGTGCTTAATTGGGCCCATGGTGGGATATTGGGAGGTTTGATTCGAGGCCAAGGGCTTTATTGAGAGGCTTGAGTATGGTTCTCTGGGTCTCTTCTCCGCTGACGTAGCCTTTTCTAATTCCTAGGCCCACCAGGTCTTGGGGAGACTATCCCCGCATCTCCAACGTTTGGCCGAAAGGCAGATCTCCACAAGTGCTGCCGCTGCCATCCACCATCTTGGGTGAGACATCTTGAATTGATACTGATAATGGCACAAGGTCTCGATTGACTTCATCGATGAAACCTCAAGTCGACCAAACTGTGCTCGATTAAAATGAACAAGATGGAACGCTTGAAGACGCTTCTTATTGCCAATCGCGCTGAAATTGCGACAAGGATCCTCAAAACGGCTAAGTGCGATCGATTCCCCATTTCCGAACCCGAGCTGCCACTGATACTCCTTCCTCCAGATCTTTAGATATCCGGACCATTGCCGTTTACACAGAGCCTGATGCAGCCTCTACGCATGTCTCACAGGCAGACCTGGCAGTTCTCTTGCCTGGAAGCCCTGCCAAAGCCTATCTAAATGGGTGAGCCTGGCCTAGTAACGTTATTCCTATATCTCAAGCGTTCTTTTGTTTCTTGTTTTCTATTTTTCTTTCTTCTTGGGTGAGATTCTTCTATCTAAATGGCAGCTTTACAAGTTTACTGTCTTATACCTCAAATAAGTCTCTGTTTTGTACTGCTAGCATTCTATCTCAGTATAAACATTTTTTTCCTTCCCCCGACCCCTTATCTGAGCTTACGGTCCTTCCACTAGCGAAGAAATAATCAGAATAGCCAAGGAACACAAAGCAGATGCAATTATACCTGGCTATGGCTTCCTATCAGAGAATGCAGATTTCGCCAAGGCGGTTGCCGATGCTGGTATGGTCTGGGTTGGACCAAGCCCAGAGAGTATTGAATCTTTCGGGCTAAAGCATACGGCGAGAGACCTAGCCACACAAGCTGGAGTACCCATAGTGCCAGGATCAAAAGGTCTGATCACTAGTGAAGAAGATGCTGTCGAACACAGCGAGCGTCTGGGGTTCCCTGTCATGCTTAAAGCAACAGCTGGTGGCGGCGGCATGGGGCTAGCAACGTGCCAAAATGTCCAAGAGGTCAGAGAAGCATTTGAAATGGTCAAGTCCCGTGGTGAGAACCTATTCAAAAATGCTGGCATGTTCATGGAGAGATTCTACCCGGACAGCCACCACATCGAGGTACAGGTCTTTGGGAATGGACTAGGCAATGCCATCCATTTTGGGGAGAGAGAATGCTCCATCCAGCGGAGACACCAGAAAGTTATCGAAGAGTGTCCCAGTCCCTTTGTGGCGAAACACCCTGGTGAGTATCTTGAAGTAATTCCAGGAGGGCTGCTAACTGGGCAAAAGACCTCCGGGAAGGGCTCTGTTCCGCGGCCGTTCGCCTTGCTGAGTCCATCAAGTATGGATCAGCCGGAACTATTGAGTATCTGGTTGATGATAAATCTGGCGACTATTTCTTCCTAGAAATGAACACTCGACTACAGGTTGAACACGGGATCACGGAGCTCTGCTACGGCGTGGACCTTGTCGAATTGATGCTGAGGCAAGCAGATGCTGAGTTGGCAGGCAATGGTGGCATCAACCACGAGGAATTGAATTCTCTTCAGCCAACGAGCCCCAAAGGGGCTGCGATTGAAGCGCGAGTGTATGCCGAGAACCCAGCAAAGGATTACGCACCGTCCCCTGGAACCCTGCAAATTGTGGAGTGGAAAGAGACGAAAGAGTCAAGAATCGACACTTGGATCCATACGGGCACCATTGTCTCGTCTCATTACGACCCTCTCCTTGCCAAAGTCATGGTGCATGATCCCAGCAGAGACAACGCGATCAAGGCCATTCACAAGATACTGTCCGAGTCCAGGATCTGTGGGCCACCCACAAACCTTGAATTTCTGGCTACCATTGTCGCTGACCCCGCGTTCGCTGAAGGAGTGACCATGACCAAGTTCCTCACCGGATTCAAATTTTCGCCGGCCGCCATAGATGTTGTCACGGGAGGGGCCTATACCCAAGTTCAGGACTATCCCGGGCGGCCTACAATGGGAAGAGGTTTCCCACACGCTGGTCCTATGGACCCTCTTGCCTTTCAGATAGCCAATCTTCTGGTTGGTAACCCGCGCGGAACAGAAGGCCTCGAATGTACATTGGACGGGCCTGAAGTCGTTTTCCTGGGCGCTGCAGTGATCGCCATCTGTGGAGCACCAATGGAAATCACGCTTGATGGGGAAAAAATCCCAATGTGGGCAAGAATCTCTATCAAGGCTGGCCAAAAGATGAAAATTGGTAAAACAACAGAGGGTGGCTGCCGCTCCTATCTCGCCATCTACGGTGGCTTACCTAGCGTTGCCGACTGGTTTGGGTCGAAAGCTACATCTCCTGGCGTTGGAGTGGGCGGTTATCAAGGACGGCAACTTGCTTCAGGGGATCTTCTAGCAATAACCAAAGATATCCCACACCATCTCTCCAAACCATTGAAGTTACCAGAGCATCTGGTCCCTCAATATCCAACTCACTGGGACCTTCTTGCCATGCCAGGCCCATACGACGAAGGCTACCTACTTGGAGAAGATGTCGAGATGATCTACAACACCAAATGGCAAGTGTCCCATAATGCTGCAAGAGGTGGTATACGTCTCATTGGACCCAAGCCAAAGTGGGCTCGCTCTGACGGGGGTGAAGGAGGCGCACACCCATCTAATGTACCTGAGTATGGTTACCCGGTGGGATCCTTGAATTGGACCGGTGATGACCCATGCATCTTTCCTGTTGACTGTCCTGACTTCGGTGGTTTCGTATCGAGTACCACCATTATCAAAGCTGAGCACTGGAGATTGGGCCAGATGAAAGCTGGAGATACAATGCAATATCTGAGAGTCTCACTAGAAGACGCACTTGCTACGCGAAGGCGGTTCAACGAATTTGTTGGTGCTATAGGCAAAGCTTGCTCTGGAGAAGGCGATTTTGCTGCCATCGGAGCTCTTGACTACTCAAATATGCCTACATCAATGACCTTGTCCTCCTCCGCCGGGAATCACGGCAAGGCTATTGTCCGCCACATTGAAGACAAAGGCAGCCAGCCTAGGACTCTATATCGACAGGTACCTAGCAGTGATCAGCCTGTACTGCCTTCCGCTTACAATCTTACAGGGTGGAGATGACTATCTCCTCGTTGAATACGGAGATGGAAAATTTGATTTAAATCACCGCTGTCGGGTCACAGCGCTTGCCAAAGCGTTGAATGAATTGAACAGTGACGTCTGTTTCTCTGGTGGACTGGTAAACACCGTCGGCTGTTGCAACTGTGAGTTACCATTATTCCTGCGTGGGACTTCCAGACTGATTGGTCTGGATCAGCCCTCCTACTATACTACGACGGAATGAAAATCGCCCAAAAGAAGCTCATCTCCTACTTAGTCGATTTAGAAGCCCAAATAGGCGACCTCAGCAATGCCAGAGTCCCTTCTCGCCTCTTCAAGCTGCCCATACTATTCGATTCAGCCAAGGAGAAGAATGCGATCAAGCGCTACATGGAAACCCAGAGGCCATATGCTTCCTACTTGCCAGACAATATGGCTTTTGTCGCCAAGAACAACGGTCTCGAACGCAGGGATCTTGTCGATATTTATCTCAAAAGCAGACTCATAGCTGTCTCCGTAGGTTTCTTCGCCGCCTTGCCGCTCTGTCTACCAGTGGATCCACGGCAACGTATCAATTGTCCGAAGATGAATCCCTCTCGCGTATTCACACCTGAAGGTCAAGTCTCGTGGGGTGGTTCTTGTATGGCTTTGTATAATGTCGAGTCGCCTGGCGGGTATCAACTCACAGGTTTGACGATCCCTGGGTGCGATATTCTAGGTTCCAAGAACGGATATTCCCTACAAAGGCCTTGGCTGTTCGAAGACTTCGATCAGCTCACATTCTATGAAGTCAACGAAGAAGAATACGACAGGCAGATAGCGCTGTTCCACAGCGGACGGTACGAGTACGAAGTCGAGGACACAGAATTCGACATGGGCGAGCACAACAAGCTGCTTCAGGATACGAAGGGAGAGGTCGAGGAGGTCAGGAAGAGACAGAAGCGAGCACAGGACGAGATGCAAAAGGTCGAAGACGAGCTGATGGAGCGGTGGACCAAGGAGAAAGCAGAAGGCAAAATCCCAATAGATAAAGTGGACGCTCTAGTCAACGATCCGGCAATCCATAAGATCACTTCACCAATGAACGCCAACGTATGGAAGGTAACATCGGAGGAGGGCGATGAGGTGAAAAGTAACGATGTGGTGGCTATATTGGAAGCCATGAAATTGGAGATATCCGTGAGAGCGGAGGAGGGTTTGGCTGGGAAAGTGGAGAAACTGCTGGTCAGACCTGGGGATGTGGTGACCGCTGGGGATCCGTTAGTGCTTGTTAGGAAGGGGTAGGACGAGTCAAATATCGCCGCCTATCATTATTGAGTGTCCGTTAGATACCCCCCGAGGTACGAAGCATTCATTTCACTGTAGCAACCCGGCGACCACCAGAACAGTCCGTGCTATCCATCACCCTCCAACCTCACTCAAAGCACCCCACGCAATGGAAATAACAAACAATGACCCCCCGCAACCCCACCCTCTCCCCCCACCCTTCACCCACACCGCTCCCGCCCCCACACTCCTCACCCAAGGCGCCGAAGCCCTCCTCTACCGCACCCATTTCCTCCTCCCCTCCCACCCCTGCGCTCTCAAACACCGCCCTTCGAAACCCTACCGCCACCCCGTTCTCGACAAACGCCTGACGAAACACCGGATACTGAGCGAAGCGCGCACGCTTGTGAAGTGCCGACGGGAGGGCGTGAGTGTGCCGGGGGTGCTCGCGCTTGACGCCGAGGGCTGTGGGGATGCGGGGAGTGGGGGGTGGATGATGATGGAGTGGGTGGAGGGGAGGACGGTTAAGGAGGTGGTTGTTGAGGCTGGGAAGAGGATTAAGGAGCGGGGAGGGGGTGGGGTGTGGGAAGAGGGGTTGAGGGCGCTGATGGGGAAGATTGGGAGGGCGCTGGGGAGGATGCATGAGGTTGGGGTTGTGCATGGGGATTTGACTACGAGTAACATGATGCTCCGACCTTCCCCGACTTCTTTACAGAATGGCACGACCTTTACGAATGGAGCCGAAGGAGACGGAGATGATGCGAAGAGCGCTGGAGAGAGTCTAGAGGGGGAGATCGTGCTGATTGATTTCGGGCTCGCGGCACAGAGTTTGCAGGATGAAGATAAGGCCGTTGATCTATATGTGCTGGAGAGGGCGTTTGGGAGCACGCATCCCGAGGCGGAGGAGGGGTTTCAGGAGGTGCTGAGGGTTTATGGGGAGAGTTATAAGGGGGCGAAGGTTGTGCTGAAGAGGTTGGAGGACGTGAGGCTAAGGGGGAGGAAGAGGAGTATGCTTGGGTGAGAGGGCGATGTCACAGCTCGTTGAAGACCAGTGTCTATCTCTCCCTCGTGAGTTCTGATCTGGAACTCCGCGCTGCTGCTGGATATCAACCGCCATTCATACGGAAGACTTGACAACACTCAATCTCCCACCTCGGCCATGGCGAAGTAGCCTTTGTTTTCGATGACACCTCGATCGCGGACGACAGCAGTGTATTTCACCACCCACTGCGGTTCTAACTCGCCCTTTAACCCTTTCGAGCCTTCTTCTGGTCCGGCTAAAACACCAGCACCTTTATCGCCATTTCCAAGAAGCTCTCTTACGGTACCGCTAGGCAGTATGTTTGTGCAGTCGTTGTGTGTCAAAAGCTCAATTTTTTCCTGCTTGGCGTACAAAATCAAGGACTTGGGCACGACGCAGCAGTCTCGGACGTTGATCTGATCTACTGAAGGCCGTACATTTGTCCTGGGCAGAAATTTCTCCAGCCGTTCGCTCCCAAATTCCGAGAGGCCTATCTGCTTGACAGTACCTTTGCCGTGGAGATTTTCGAGAGCTTGCCATGTTTCCACCATTGCGCTGAGGTCTTCCCCTTCACCATCTTGACTCCATTGTGGCTCTTCCTCGTCTTCGTCATCCGCATCGAATGATACTCCAGGGAAAGAGACAATTAGCAGGTCTATCGACGGCATGTGCAGCTCCCTTAGCACCAGATCTATGGCCTCTTGTGAGTGTCTGCATCTTTCTGTTGCTGACGTGTGTGGGAGGAAGAATAGTTTCACTGTAATGTCGTACTGCGACCTCTCTTCTGCCAACCCTGACTGCGCGAAGTCGATCGAGGGTACGAAGAGGGATCCGTCTTCTCGAGCCGTCCACTCGGAATATGGAACGTCCTGTGAGATCGTTTTGCGCTCAGCCCCGTTGGATGAGGAGAATCCTTTGGTGGCTGGCGCAAATGCTTGCATCGAAGCGAGGAAGTTGGAGCGCAGGGCGTTGATGAGCTCCACGTTAGACTTTTCGGACGCTGGACGACGGATAATTGAGGGTCCGCCATTCATGATATTGCTATACTGGTCAGCGATTGCGTGCTTCTCAGATCTCGAGGGTCCCGTACGATGTTGAGAGGATGAGTTTAGTCATGATAAGACCCTAGCGACCCTTCAGGTCAAGCCAAAGCCAAAGCAAAGGGCTTCGAGCCAGCCCGAATAGTCTCTACTGAATCTCTCTCTTTCTCAATCTAAGACCCCTAGACACAATAGTACACGATTCTCGTAAGCTTGTGACTTCTGTTCACTAGAAGACTCTCTGCCTCAATTTCGGGGCCAAAGCAGGAGTTCAAAAGACACAATATTGCCCGCCGAATCATTTGCAGCTTTTTTCAAACGGGTATACTGGCAAGTCTTAAAGTCTGTCGATTGCTTCACGAAGCAAGAAACATTGGTGGGGCATCGGCTTTTCTGCGGCAAAAGTTTGATACCCGCTCACCGCTTTCTCCTGCACAAGCTGTATCCCTCTCCCGCAGGCATTGACTTTTAGGATAGGATGGCCATCAAGTGAGCCTCTACACCTCTGGTTAATTACGGAAGGATGTCGTACTGACCCCTGAGCAGCTACCTCATCCTCCTATCCCGGCAAGGTAAAGTGGTGCGTACCTCGTCTCCCACCTCGTCGTTTAAGTCGAAACGTTAACAAAATTCCCCCACAACAGCGCCTCGCAAAATGGTTCACCACACTTTCTCCCAAAGACAAAGCCAAAATCATCAAAGATGTCTCCCAACTCGTGTTATCACGGAGAACACGTATGTGCAACTTCCTCGAATATAAAGGCAAGCAGCTTCCATTCCCCTCTCATCCCCGCCCGTAGCTAATCTCGAGCCGTTGTCCAGACACCAAAGTCGTCTACCGTCGCTACGCTTCTCTTTTCTTCATCGCCGGCTGCTCATCGACCGACAATGAACTCATCACCCTCGAGATAGTCCACCGGTATGTGGAGCAGATGGACAAATACTACGGCAATGTCTGCGAGCTGGACATCATTTTCAATTTCCAAAAGGCATACTTCATACTGGATGAGTTGTTGCTAGCCGGGGAGATGCAGGAGAGTAGTAAGAAGAATGTGCTGAGGTGCATCAGTCAACAGGACAGTCTGGAGGATATGGAGGTAAGTGTCGATAAGTCTTGATGGGGTTATGGATTCTCCTACGGATTGGTTGCTAGCTCTCTGCTTTGGTTTTTTTTAACCGTCTTCGAGCTTCGTACACGGTGTGACTGACGTTGTGTCTGGGGGTATCAGGTCGAGGATGACGGCGTTACCAAAATAATGTGATGATTGTTACTCTGTGGATGTCCACATATATTTCGTCGCTTTCGGCGTCCCAGTCGGTGACTATGTATGAGTATTCAGGACAACACAGCTAATGCGTTCTTGATTCGGCGTTGCAGGCAGAACAAGTCTTGACAGACGGATTGCGCAAGGCAGGAATGCTCTAATGGGAGGCCAGCAGGCATGGTACCGTTACGAAGTACGAAGAGCCTTGATGGCTTCACTTGCGTGAAATACAGATAATGTCAAGTTCCGCCTTGAACTGCAGCCTTCTCTGTGCTACGCATGATTGGCTGCTGTGGAGTCTCCGATGATCATTGACAATAAGGTCTACTAAATCGCGCTCTAACTTAAGGTATAGCCGTCAACAACCAGCCTGTCACTGCACCAGAAACATCGAATCTCACCACTCACAGTCTTTCCATGTTGCGAAGAAGCGGGCATGAAGATGCTGTTGCGGCGATCTAGAATCAGCTGGATGCCCGTAAAAAGAGTCGAGCGATATGGGCGCTCTACACGGGATCGAGGGTCATATGACCTAGAATGTTGTTTGCAAAACTCAGCAATCGCTGCGTTGGAGCGGATGTTCCAAAGAAAGAACCTCATTGGTTGCGCACACCTCTGCCAAGGATTCAACTCGCTGACTAATTTATCGCTTCAAACTTGATCCGTGCCGGTCGCGACTTCATCTTGGCTTCTGGCGGGCCCCCTCTTCGTCATCCTCACCACCTCCACCATCATCACGATAAGATGTCGCGAACCTGCAACACTATGTTCGAAGGCTAGGCTTCATCGCCTAGCTTGAAAGCATAGATCAGAACATCTCCCGCGCGCTGCAAGCACCCGGGTTCTTTGTTACTGGAAACAGCGACTCAGACCACATCTTACCGGCATCCCTTCGGCCACTTGCGGCCATCATCCTTACATCAGCGATCACATCAAGCTGATTTGCGTAAGGAGAACGAGACCGGGCATCCGCCTCGATCAAGTACCTGGAAGCAACCCGCGCATACCCAAGTAACACTGTCCTTTGTCTGACAGTGCTTCGCTACATTTTGTTAATCAATCTTAAGTGGCCATTCCGCGCTATTCGCCATGAAGGTAAGTCAAGATAAAGAGGTCATGACCCACTGTCTGGTCTCCCTAGAGAAAATAGGCGAACCTCTCCCTGCTTCATGCTACATATGCTGACCTTGGCTGTGTACAGTACCTCCCACTCCGCGATATTGACGACGTCACGAATGCTCTCAACTTCGATACGGCTGACTGCCATGTCATCGGCGGCTGCGATCTCTACACCACAAAGGCTGCAGGGGCAGACAAGAAGCTCTACAAGAACATCGAACACTCGCTAGAGTCGCAGTATGCCTCACTTCTGAGCTTTTCGGCTGGTCTATCAGCGCACCAGGCTACCGCGGCTGGCCAAGCCCTCAATTTGTCTAGAGCAAGTCCTTTCGGACCCCTCAGCCAAATCTCCAGTCGCCGAACCTTTGCCTATCTGATCGCAACGCTAAACGCCAGTCATCCAGACTACGACTTCTCCCATCTCCTCCGTCCCTCCGACTTTCGGCGCGAGAAGAATATCAGGAAGGTAATGAACACCCTCGATACCACCCTTTATAATCTGCGCCCAAAGTTCTCGAGCGCGCTTGTTGATGAAAAGCCACACTGGTCAAACACAGTACCAACGACCGTCCCTCAGACCCCCCACGGAAGTGAGAAATGGAATCCTCGGATGTGGAGTCTGATCGACAAAGAAATGACCCTCAAGGAATGCAGCATGTACTGCTACGCGCCGGAAGAAGATCCTTACGATGGCGAAGAGGGCTCACTGTGGAGCTTCAATTACTTCTTCTTCAACAAGGCAAAGAAAAGGGTCTGCTACATCTACCTCCGTGGCCTGAGCATCATCGGCAACAGTCCTCCCCAAAAGACGCCAATCAAACCGAAGAGACCGGCAAGCGGGACTTGGAGTTTGGACGAAGAGACAAGCAAGAAGAGAGCAAAATATTGGCTTGGAGATCGAGCTCGAGAGGCCGAGTGGAACAATGAGGAAGACGAAGACGTCAGTGGTCAATGGGATGAGGAGAACATTGAAGAGGCTGACATCCTGGATGATGGGGATGAGCCCACGTTGGTGCCCTCGGATACTGACACAGGGAGTGAGAGTCCGTGCAAAGGAAGAGGACGAAGTGGGAGTTCTGTCCGGGGCGTTAGCGAAGAAGTTGCGGCAACCATTGAGGTTTGATGACTATATGAAGGGTAGAGGCATATGCTTTTCTTTCGTCCGTATTATTCTTATCAGTCATCAGCAGCGTTATGAAGTATATCGTAGGTTGTATTCCATGAGACCATTTAAGCAAATCAGTCATCCGCAATCCTCATACACAGAGAACAGAGCGAAGAGCCTATGTCCTACGGCGACTTTCTAGCTCAGTGCGATTTCGTTGATCGACGATGCTTCTCTTCACGTACATCATCCCACGCGAACTTCTTCATCAAACCTCTGTGTGCTCAGTACCCCGGCTGGCCAAATAAGCCTCCCTGCCCTTGAAATTCGCAGCATGCTTCAACGCCGCCTGGCGGGCAATCCACTCACCTGCTGTGAGAAAGTTTTACGTCCTCGATGATCTCACCAATCAGTAGTATGAACAAGACACGCCCTTTGGGCCGTACCAAATAGCCACAATAATACCGTGGGTAATGTGCATGCTTGATCGCCAGGGCGCACGAGTACCTGGTGGAGCACTTTGCGAAGTATTCGTTGGTCTCGGGGAGGTTTAGATATCGCAGTGGTTGTTTGAGACTCTCTTATTCGCCTGACCAGCTTGCCGTTACTGGACTTAGCAACAGCCTCATCCAGATTCACAAATACCATATCTCTCTGGCCCTTGACGTATTTCCGCCCCGTTAGGTCTGCACTATTGAGTTGCGAGCCGCTTCCAACGTCCGAGTGTTCTCCCAGCGTGACTGCTTTTTCTTCATTGTCCAGAAGAGGATAGTGGATCACGCGAGCTAGGTTCGCTCCCGCGCGATCGATTTTGTGCAACTCGGATGGGTACCAAGCTAAGCTTGACGCCTGAAATGCTTGACAAGACCGTGGTGGTATGATGGCACGCCTGCTTGAATTGCTTTACGGCTGCTTTACGTCGTTCCGCGGAGAATTATCGGAGGCCTTCCATGCGAACAACAGTGGTCTCGGAGCATGGAAGCCGAAGATGTGTCTTGTGGGTTCATCAAGCCAAGACCTTTCACACTGCATTGCTGCTCTCGACCAACGGCAGCCAACTTTCATTCTTGTGTCTCGCTACGATATCTGACTGGCAATTTGCCGGTAGAATTCCTTTCAAAGTTTACAAAAGCTGCGAGTCCATCAGCGTGCATTGCCGACTTCCATGTCTCTTCGCTCGCATTGATCCAGCCCGCCACCAGTCTATGGACAAGAGCCTACCCGCCTTCACGTCTCTCACTTCGGATACCCGAACTTTTCGAAGTACGCCGTCAATTTCCCCTTCGGGTTCGACGTGTCGAAGAACCAAGCATACTCCTCAAAGAAAGCATCGATATCCGCATGAGCCTCCCCCGCATCTTCAGCCATCAGCTCCACCTCCCCGACCACGTGTCCGAAATCGGTCACATCGAGCACGACCGTGAACTTCTCATCGGCCAAAAGCGTGAGCCTCCGCGTCTCGAACCCGGCAATCGCATCCAGCCCGAAATCGTCCCGGAAACCGGAAATCTGATCCGGGAAATGCAAGCGCACGAGCTCGAGTATCCGGCTCCGGTCCCGGGTTTCGGAGAACGTGGAACGGAGGAAGGAGCCGCCCTGCATGCTCTGCTTGGCTTCCCATTCCGGAGCGTCCCCGGGTGACGGTGTGTGTGGGTGAGCAGGGTCCGCGTGGAGGTGGCGCTTGCGGAGCCAGAGCCCGGCGTTTGAGAGCTTGTTTTGCGAGTCGTAATACGTGTCGCGGAATGTCTGCGAACGGAAGTCGCCGAGGGTTTTGAAAGGAGGGAAGCCGCCTTTGCGGGATAAGATGGCGGCGTTGGCGAGGGTGAAGGAGAATTTTTGTTCGATTTCGAGGAGGGGCATGGTTGGTGGGACGGAGGTGGTGGTGGGTTGGCTGGAGAGACGTGTGAGATGTGCTGGGGTGAGTACCTTGTAATATGTATGATGGAAGATGTTTGGGGAATGCTGTGTGTTGATGAAAGGTTGGGGGCGAAAAGAGCGGGTTGGTGTTTGGGGTACTCCAAATGGGAAAATCTGCAGCGATAGGCTGTGCAACATATCAGGTGTGTGTTGCTTCTGCTGACATATGCAAGATGCCGCGTCCTGTGTTACACAAAAATAGTATACCTCCGGAAAAACTCCAGGGGGGCATTGATACCTAATAAACGGCGTCAGATAGAAAGAAGATCCTGACGCTGTTTCTTTAGCTCTAGGAAACGATTTTGAGCACTGAGCATGTTTTTATAATGACTTTGGTATACCTGGTCTAAGAAAATGATCTTGGCCCCTCCTGTGACTCGGTCCCGTATAGGGACTAGCCTGGCTGTCGAAAACCGTTTCACTGGTCTGAATCCTTTTGCTTCCCGGTTGTGTTGTAGTTGTGTGTGTTCGACGCCACTAGCAGCACGAGCTTTAAGAACCGTTCGACCGCTACTCTTCACCATTTCCCCAATCTCTCCGCAAGAAACACAGACAACCGCCGGTGATACCCCGGACACTTCATAAAATGGTACCGATACCAGCATCTGGCCAAACATTCAAGGTCTGGCTCAGAAAAACGCAAGCACAATTTCTCGTCTGCATCCACGAAAGCCAAAAAGAGCTAAAGGGACCCTATGGTGCCTTTGGTGGCTTCGCCACGTCCGTATGCATCGAGGTAGACCACATTTTCTACTACTATCAATCCAGCAATAGGGGCAAAGACATGCTCTTCTCCGCCTTGGTAAGGTTTGGCAGCAGCAGGACACGAACCATTGCTGACTGTTCAATTCAGAAGGAGATTTACACTAAGAACGGTGCGGTGGACGCTTTCTTCGAGTGCCACCAAATCATGGCAGAGGCAACGGCCTACACATCGTCCTGGTAATATGCACTGGTCGTGCATTATGGCTCTGGTGGTCCTGTCGCGCATAATGTGCCTGAAGTGGATGGGCACCAGGTAGTCTGTTTCAAGGTAAATAAAACCCTGTTCTCCGGCTGTTCAATAGCATGCTGACACATCCTAGCGTGATACCATCAACGACCGCAAGCGCAACATTGCCCACGTTCACATACTGAAGAAGATGAGGGACAAGGACGGTTGTTTCGTTTGGCTGATGGCTAACCAGTGTTTAGGATACTATGATTCCTGGCAACGGCATCAAGGATGACGTCTGCAATTTTCTGAATGACTTGAGTGACGACTCGGAAGACGATCATTCCATGGAAGACGAAGTTGCTGGTTTCAAGCATGGAAAAGTAACTCCCTTGCACGATCAGGAATCGGTACCAGAAAAGAGTGATTCGTAACAGCAGCTTCGTGGAGACTGGGTCACTGTTCACGGCGACTCAGTCAAGGCAGAGGGGTCCGAGGTCCCATGAAAAGCCTTGGGGTTGCAGGCTGAAGCCTCGTAGGGTCTTCAGTCTATGCCGACCTTGCTGACCGCTTGCTCGGAGGCAAGCTTTAAAGAGATAGAAGGATAGAGATACTTTGAACAGCACAAAGCCACGGTGACTAGCACGACTGTTCACGCTCCTGAGGATGACACATTTCGATAATTGGGACGCGAAGTGGGCTTCCAAAGTTCGAGTTATATATGATGCCTCGTCTACTTCCTAGTAGCGAGGACTAGAGCCACAGGCCAAGCAATCTTCGTCTTCGACCCTTGGCCTCCCATGGCCTCTTCCAATTCCTTGTACATCGGCTTCAATTGAGCGCCGATCTCGTCATCTGTAGACTTCCAGGGAAATTGCGCATCAATGAATCCCTCCACCCAGTCCACACCGCAATGTTCTTTAGCCCAAAAGTCACGGTCGACACGCTCCTCCACCTTCTCGTCAGCAGTGACAGAGTTCTCGTGTTTGACTTCAAAGTCAAAGTACTCCTCCGGGAGAAAGCACAATGGCTTGTCGTGGTTCCACTTAGTCCTCTCTACGTCTGTCCAATCTTCCGATGGAAAACCGATATTATCGAGCCAAGATGCCATGACTGTGAACGCTTGTTGCCAGATCGTACCCTTGATGGGAAAGATTCTCGAAAAAGCTTTCCCAGCAATCCGGTCGTAGATTTGCTGGCTCCTCTCCTGTCCTTCCCCCACAAAGATTGGCTTACCATAGAACCACACGGCCAGGGTGCCGCCGGGTCTGAGCAACTCGGCAAAGCCAGAGAAGGCCCGCTCAGCGTCCATCAGGGGGATACATTCAGCAAGAGTGACAAGATCTGCTTTGCCGTGACCGTCGGGTCCCACCAGAGTGACGAGGTCCTCCGCACGGCACTGCTCGACCGTCACATTCGAAGCTGCGAGACGTCTCCGCGCAACGGCCGTGTGGAATCCGCTGGGATCACTGGCTATGACTTTGTCGAAGCGGGCGCCGAGAACCTCGGCTACATTGCCGGGTCCTGTGCCAACGTCGTGGGCGAGGCTCCAGTGATTGCTGTGACTTTGGTGATAGGTCCAGATGCGGTCGTAGAAGGAAGAGGAGTAGGCGGGTCTATGGGTGGTGTACTTTATCCAATCGAAATCCGCACCCCCATCGAAAAGACTCGAGTCGCTTGACGAGGCCATAGCCGCTGTATTGTTTGGTCCTCTCGATAGACTTCAAATATCATAATTCGTCCATGAAGAACAGAAGGCAGAAACAAAGAATGCAATGATTGAATGTGAGTGTGCAGGTGTCTATCGCTGTGGATATACCCACCTGCTTTTGCATGAGGCAGAGCCCCTGCACATCTGCGCCCGACCAGGTTACATTGACACGTAATACTGTGTTATTGGTTACTAGGGCGGGACCTTACAAAAGAGATGAGGCGTGATAGGCCTGACTAGTACTGCGCCCAGCGAGGCTGCATGACACGTAGTGTTGTGCTATTGGCTACGAAGGCGAAACTTTGCACAAGAGATGAGGCGTGCTACGCCCGATCAATACTGCTCCCGACGAGTGTGTCGAAGGTAAAGATGTGCCATGGTTCATCCCAAGGGGTTTTGGGAAGATTATTCAAGAAAGCCTTCATGCTCTCTGATACCTTCGAACCCTTCCCTATCGCCTGTCAGCCCGGCTCTTATCTTTCTCCAATGATTGGTCACAGCCTAGTATTCTCAATTTTTCCACAATTTTTGCTCAAATAACACGAACTCAACTTCATCCCTACGTCAAATTCGCAAGTCCTCATTACCACCTCACCATCATGTCCGGCATTGGTTACTCTGGCAGTGGCAGTGGCAGTGGCAGTCAAGGCCACCTTGGCGCACCAGCATTCGTCAGCTCATCCTCGACCGGCAGTTAGCTGTATGACCCACCTTCTCAGCCCCAGACGACGACCACGGCCCATGGCAATGGTACTGTGACATACACTACTACATGGCTGAACGGAACCACGTGAACCGCGAACACCGTCTAGGAATGCGAGCGTGGCATGGCTTGTAATGAACATGTTGGTGCTCGAGAGACTTCAGGCGAGAGATGCTCGCGAAGCTGCAATGTAGCGTAGAAACTGGACAGGCGGAGATAAGGGAGAAAATAGAAGAGGGACGCTGATGTGAGTGGAAGGGAGAAAGGCGAGCTTGACAGCGCTCACTAGGGCCGTAGAGATGCAGGATGCAATTCCTCTCGCGATGCCTACGCAAACCGAGATATAATACAAATTGTGAGGAAAAGATCCATTCACCTCGCTAATATCTGCCTGACCTGTCAAATGTCTATCGAATCCTGGATTCTACAGAACCCATCTCCTTTTCCAGATATCCGAGAGCTGTGGATCGATTGTGGGACAGATGGGTGGAAGACGTTGAGAGCCTGCATCTTGATATCACTACCGGTCTTTGATCTCGATCCAGTCCGAATGTTGCCAATGGACGACTTGGTGGCGCCTGTCCTTGGCGATGCTCTGCCCTCCGGCTCTGGCGAGGAGGATGGTTTCCTAAAGATCCAGTTGAATAGAGGACGGTATGTGATGGCGGACGCGCCCAGCATGGCAGCGGAGACTTCAACAACCGACCAAAGAGAGGGCTCGACGTCGGCCCAGGTGGGGTCGTACGAGTACAGAGACAATCCACGCAGCTGCGGGATGCGGTAGATCGAAACTACGGTGGCGCTGTTGGGCGAAAGCGGTCAGTCAGCGGGTGCGTTTCAAACCACTATTGCCTCTGTCAAGGGATGTGGGGCACGGACAAACTGCCGATACTGAATATGCCAATCAGTTGTAACTTTGTTTCGCGGTGCATCTGAAGCTTCCACAGCTGCGGCAGCGGGAGGCATAAGAGCAGGAAATCCGTCAACACGTTCATACTGGCCATGACAATCCAGACCTTACTGATGTCGATACAGTCCGCTTGGACGGTAGGGTCCCAAACTCTGTTGACTGGCTTGCACTGAAAAATCATCGTGATTACCATGACGGCGGAGTATGTTGATATGAAGAGACCGACAGCCCAAAGCATGCGTTTGAATTTCGGGCCTGGGAAGATCCGAGCAAAGAGTAGAAGAGTACTAATTTTGACGACACCGATGGTCGGGGCATAGAGGATTTCTCCTACGAAGACACTCTGATAATTCGTGCTCAGCAAGGGAGCTTGGCTAATAGAGAGGCGGTCAAAGGACATACCTTTGCGAATCTGACTGGGTCATTTTCGGTCATCAGGATCGCATGGTGTGCGCCTCCGTAAGCAAACGCAGCTGGATCATCAGTAAGAGCGTCCGCTCAAGAGGACTGAACGTACCCAATAGACATGGAGTGCTGTCCGCAATCACCAGGATCTATCGATTACTTAGAACACTGGTACGAGTGAAGGACAATATTATACCAGTCCCAAAACCATAATCCAATCATCGGCTCCATACGATGTTCGACCAATGCGCCTGGACAAGAAGCGCATCATAACGGCAAGAAAGATGATAGGAACACATATGATATATGCAGTGGCGATTGATTTTCTTTTGCTGTCGTGGACATGTGCCAATTGATACTGGGCTTCCGCCGGAGGAAGGCTGTTATAGATGGCCCAGTTGATTGCTTGCGGAGCCATACTGACAAATGTTCAGAATCCGAGACTCTAGTTCTGGGCGGGCCAGTCGTACAGTGAAGAGATGAATATCGAAAAAGGGGTTTCTGAAAATGAAGAATTGAAATGGCGGGGAAGGGTTCATGTTGAGCCTGAGTAGGGTATTGTTGGGGGTTTTTAGTTCGTATCAGGTTCGATTACTAATGGCGCTGGTACAATGGTGTTGCGGTGCTTTTTATTTCTGGCAGCGCCATTAGCCACAGGTTTTAAAGTTCCGTCGAACGGTGTTGGCGAGGGCTTAGGTTCGAATCCCATGCGACGCATTGATTTGTGAAGCGAAATGTTCCCCGTTAGTCATAGTCCGAGGGCGGACACCTGTTGGTTGTGGTCGTGTTGTTGGGGGTATTTAGTTCGTATTAGGTTCGATTCCTAATGGCGCTGGTACAATGGTGTTGCGGTGCTTCTTATTTCTTAGGGTAGGTCATATGATGTCGAAGGATTGAGACGAAAGTTCTTGCAGCTGAGCTACTTTCGATATTGTTTCTGTAAGGTGGTGGGTTTGCATTGCATTGTTTCGTGGCGTAGTAGTGTTGCGGCAGGATCATGCAGGCGGATGATGCACGAATGGGGTGAAGTGCATATTTCTGCAGCTCTCATCACGAACATTTCGCTTTGGTGAAAGCATGAGCTTATAAATCACCGAGACTATTTATAAATGCTGTACTCCGCACGGAGGTGGGCAGATTGGAGCCCAGCTTGGAGCCCAGCTTGGAGCCCAGCTTGGAGCCCAGCTTGGAGCCCAGATTGGAGCCCAGCTTGGAGCGCAATAGCTACTAGGCCCAAAAGAGGTCCCCTCAGTTCAACCTACATAAGTATCGATCCGGTTTCTTCTGGTATACCAAACAAAGATTCTACAATGTTGTAGGGTCCCCCGCTAGAAGACAGGGTTAGGGCTGCGACTAGCGCTGTTCTTACCTCCACACGTCCCATAGATTTCTTACAACACCAAAGCTCGATATCTAATATTATCCACGGGATATTGTCAAACCAAAGTAGTCCGACACTAGCCTGTTTCCTGATTATGCCCAAATCTATTATAAGCATTGTACAGTCTGAATTTTGTAAAGGGGGCGTGATAGATACGAGTAACAGGTGTGTGGGATTTCTTCAACACCAAGAATTCCACCTGTGCACCATGCGTGCATACAATGGCAACAAGCTAAGTTCCTGCGCCAAGACGTCGAACCACGCCCTGCTGCTCTAGAGCTAACCTGGGACCCGCGCGCCTTTACCAAGTCCTAAAATGCAAATTCCCCAAGAGCAGCATGTATACGTACGAGCTTTTTTCGGCTTGTAATAATCGCCAGCCTGAGTGGCTCGATGACGGAGTGTAACTGCAATGCATGGTCTGGGTAACGATGATGGAGACCATTTATACCAATCCCTTCTACTCAGCAGCAAACAAGGATCCGCAGCGGTTCAATTCCGCACGAAGCACCTGTATGCTCACCTTGCAGCACCTGTGGCTTGCATAAGCGCTTACTCTCGTTACTCAGCTACACCTTGATGCCTTGTTTCGCCTACGACCTGCATGAGAGATATGATGACGTTGAAGGAACGACGTGGTTTCTGCCCCATCAGTCTTGACGAGTGCGACCCCTGCGTGAGCTAGCGATGTTAGTACGAGTAATTGCATCGTTCGCATTGATTGAGGATTTTGTAGACGAGCTGGAAGTAGGACTCCAGGTATTGCTGTCGGAGGATGCAAGCTCTCTTGAGCTTCCCACCTGCTAGCCTTGCGAGAATTGAGCGGTCAGCTGCAAGTCTGAATCGAAGACGGTCTATTCGCAACCGAAGCTATCCATTCTGACAGCGAAAGCCAGAGCAAACAGCAAAAGGTAGAGGTTCACATATTGCTATTGGCTGTTCAACGGAGAATTCGAGAGCCAAGAAAGACCCAGGAAAATCTTATCGGATCAATAAGAGAACTTTTTCCACCTGCGTCTCACTGAGGATAAGTGTGCTTGCGCTTCGCTCTTTGGATCTTCATTGCCGTTTTGTCTGACAATAGTACCATAAAACCCTAAAGTACATTTACTCGGTCCGACAAAGGACTTACGCCGAAGTCTAGATATCAGTATGACATCTCGCACTCTTCTCGAGTTGCCTGCAGAGATACGCCTTAACATATATCACCATGTACTCTGCTATGATGGCGTTACACCAGAATTCAGCTCCGCTTGGAGTCCCCGGGAGCCACACACTTGTCCTACGAGAACCTGAACCCCTCCTTTCTGCACGCGTCAAGATCCCTGCGACGATTACCTCTCTCAGCGGTCTGTTCTACGTGTGCACCTCGATGTCATGGCTCTTATACGGAACGGCGTCTACCCTGGTGTCCAGCTCCCAGTGCCTGCCAGTGACATTCCGAGCTTGCTCCGCGCCTGCCGTCAAATATACGAAGAAGCCCACCGCATATTCTGAACGGAGAATGCCTTCATTTTCGAGTATCAAGATACGACGCACGCTTTTACACGTCGCATCGGAGCCAAATCCTTCGAGTGGATAAGAACGCTCGGTATCGAGAAGACGGTCAACGCCGAGTGCATCGAGGTAAACGGAGGAAACGATCTGGAATTTTGGCTCCCGGATGTTGGAATACCTACGTACCTGCCGGCACTTTATCTGCACGGGTGGGAAGCCAAATTCGAGGAATACTACTGCAAAAGGGAGCAGTGGATGCCTGCCCTGGTCGACCTCAGCGATCGTTCGGAGGTGGTCCAAGGAAGAAAATTCATGATCCCGTGCAAATCCATCTAAAACTGGCTGGCAAGGCCACGATTCAGGAAAGAGATACCGGTAAGGGATACTTCTGGGGTCACAGGCGAAGGTCAAGCTTTACAAGGTTCGCGCTTTGGAACTACGATTGACGAGACGTTGCTTGATTTTATCTCACATTCCGGATCTCTTTAAGTGATCATTATTTTTTGCCTGACTCCTTCATACGTACTGCGATCAGACACTAAAGGCTCTTCCCCAGTGAGCGCTTTGTCGAGATCGCACTGAGCAACAATGCTAGTTATACCCTACGGCATTTTCACTTTTGCATCAAGAAAGTCAAGGCCACAACAAAGCACCATTCAGAAGATCGAGTCTATCATCTACTCACACCATCATTCCTTCAAACTACTGGCCACGCTTGATATCATCGGCAATCTTCTCCGCAAGCGCGTACACCGTCGATTGAGGATGACCTGGCGGCAAGAATGGGAAAGCGCTCGCGTCTACCACTCTCAGACCCTGCACACCAAACACCCTTGCATGGGTGTCGACAACCGCCATGGGATCACCCTTTTTGCCCATGGCACACGTAGCGGAAGCATGCCACAGCTCGAGGGCATCTTGACGAAGGAACGCAAGTATCTCTTCATCCGTCGTGACGTTGGGACCTGGTGTAAGGAGTTAGGACAAGGGTAGACTTAGGGTGGTGTGGGATTGTCAGAGTCAGGGTTGGAATGGAATTCCCACCTGGTAGATACTCCTCGCCGATTGTGATGTTGTGCATATTTGCCCAAAATTGCCTTGTACGCTTGAAGCCAGCGATGGCTACTTCAACATCTGCTTCAGCGGTGAGCCAATTTGGATTGATGAGAGGTGGGTCCTATGGAATTTTGGATGTCAGTGTTGCTCTTTCTGGGAATAGCACAAAGAGGAGGACGAAGCTTTCGCTTTCGATTTCGAACATTTCTTATTCCAGAGTGTGGTACTCTACGTGTTAGCAAGAAATCGCTCAGACGTGTACGTACCATTGTGTCTGTAGAATTTATGGTAACGTTTCCACGTGATAGAGGCGCAACCAAAGCACTGTCTATCGAAGCATATTCGTAACCGTCATCTTCAAGACCTCTGGGTCAGCATTCCTCCCTAGGCAGAGACTTGAGGCGTGAAACATGTCAGAGGAATATAAATACCCTCAAGACATGTGATATGAATCAAAATGCGGTAGGCGTTGGAGGATAACACCGAAAGATAGACTCACGAGGATCCGCTGTTATGAAATTGGTATTGTACCCGG